GTAGTAGCTCCACTATGACGTCTAAAGATGCGGAATTAAATTCTCTGTCGGGTGGTATTTAATTGTTGTAGGAATTCGACTTGCAACCCGCAAAAAATTGCATTTAAAGTTAGGATTTCAACCCTTTTTCGTGAAATATTTGTGTTTTTTTGGGATTCCGCGCGATCTAGGCGGCTTAGTAGCTCCGCCTTGACCTCCAGAGATGCGGAATTAAATTCTCCGTCGGGTGGTATTTAATTGTTGCAGGAATTCGACTTGCAACCCGCCAAAAATTGCATTTAAAGTTAATATTTCAACCCTTTTTCGTGAAATATTTGTGTTTTTTCGGGATTGCGCGCGATCTAGGTGGCGCAGTGCCTCCAACGTGACGTCGAGAGATGCGGAATTAAATTCTCCGTCAGGTGGTATTTAATTGTTGTAGGAGTTCGACCTGCAACCCGCGAAAAATTGCATTTAAAGTTAGGATTTCAACCCTTTTTCGTGAAATATTTGTGTTTTTTTGGGATTGCGCGCGATCTAGGCGGCTTAGTAGCTCCGCCGTGATTTCCAGAGATGCGGAATTAAATTCTCCGTCGGGTGGTATTTAATTGTTGCAGGAGTTCGATCTGCAACCCGCGAAAAATTGCATTTAAAGTTAGGATTTCAACACTTTTTCGTGAAATATTTGTGTTTTTTTGGGATTGCGCGCGATCTAGGCGGCTTAGTAGCTCCGCCTTGACTTCCAGAGATGCGGAATTAAATTCTCCGTCGGGTGGTATTTAATTGTTGCAGGAATTCGACTTGCAACCCGCCAAAAATTGCCTTTAAAGTTAATATTTCAACCCTTTTTCGTGAAATGTTTGTGTTTTTTCGGGTTTGCGCGCGATCTAGGCGGCGTTGTAGCTCCACTATGACGTCTAGAGATGCGGAATTAAATTCTCCGTCGGGTGGTTTTTAATTGTTGCAGGAATTCGACTTGCGACCCGCCAAAAATTGCATTTAAAGTTAATATTTCAACCCTTCTTCGTGAAATATTTGTGTTTTTTCAGGATTGCGCGCGATCTAGGTGGCGCAGTGCCTCCAACGTGACGTCGAGAGATGCGGAATTAAATTCTCCGTCGGGTGGTATTTAATTGTTGCAGGAATTCGACCTGCAACCTGCGAAAATTTGCATATAAAAGTAACTCTATAACCCTTTTTCGTGAAATACTTGTGTTTTTTCGGGTTTGCGTGCGAGCTAGGCGGCGTAGTAGCTTTCCAGTGACGTCCAGATGTGCGGAATTAAATTCTCCGTCGTGTGGTATTTAATTGTTGCAGGAATTCGACCTGCAACCCGCGAAAATTTGCATATAAAGTTAATGTTTCAACCCTTTTTCCTGAAATGTTTGTATTTTTCGTGTTTGCGCGCGATCTACGCGGCGTATTACTTTCAGCGTGGCGTCTAGCGATGCGGAATTAAATGTTTCGTCGGGTAGTATTTATTTGTTGCAGAAATTCGACCTGCAACCCGCGAAAATTTGCATATAAAAGTAACTCTATAACCCTTTTTCGTGAAATACTTGTGTTTTTTCGGGTTTGCGCGCTATCTACGCGGCGTAATAGCTCCGCCATTACGTCTAGAGATGCGGAATTAAATTCTCCGTCGTGTGGTATTTAATTGTTGCAGGAATTCCATCTGCAACCCGCTAAAATTTGCATTTAAAGTTAATATTTCAACCTTTTTTGTGAAATATTTGTGCTTTTTCGGGATTGCGCGCGATCTAGGCGGTGTAGTACCTCCACCGTGACGTCCAGAGATGGGGAATTAAATTCTCTGTCTGGTGGTATTTCATTGTTACAGCAATTCGACCTGCAACCCGCGAAAATTTGCATATAAAGTTAATGTTTCAACCCTTTTTCGTGAAATGTTTGTGTTTTTTCGGGTTTGCGCGCGATCTAGGCGGCGTACTAGCTCCACCGTGACGTCTAGAGATGCGGAATTAAATTGTCCGTCGTGTGGTATTTAATTGTTGCAGGAATTCGACCTGCAACCCGCAAAAATTTGCATATAAAGGTAATTTTTCAGCCTTTTTCGTGAAATGTTTGTGTTTTTTCGGGTTTGCGCGCGATCTAGGCGGCGTACTAGCTCCACCGTGACGTCTAGGGATGCGGAAATAAATTCTGCGTCGTGTGGTATTTAACTGTTGTAAGAATTCGACCTGCAACCCGCGAAAATTTGCATATAAAGGTAATTTTTCAACCCTTTTTCGTGATATGTTTGTGTTTTTTCGGGTTTGCACGCGATCTAGGCGGCGTTGTAGCTTCAGCTTGGTGTATAGAGATGCGGAATTAAATTCTCCATTGGGTTGTATTCGTTTATTATAGAAATTCGAGCTACAACCCGCAAAAATTTGCATAACAGTAATTGTTCAACCATTTTTCGTAAAATGTTTGTGTTTTTTCAAGTACGTGTTTGCCACTACGTTTGTTTATAAACAACTTTTTTGTTCGACTGACGTGTATTATCGCGACGTACCTGCCTTGTACCTGGCAACGCGCAGCGCACACGGCAGTCGTTTCACCGCGTGGTCCACGAGCGCGTCTCACTACGCGTTTTCAGACTTTAATTATTCAATTAATTGTCGTGTATTCTTTTCATCATCAGCAAAATATTCGTGACGACCATGTGTGGCTGTTTTGTTTGATGAGTTGTGGCGGTTAGAGTGATCTTTAGTAAGAAATAAGTGTCTGTTAATTGCTGCTCAAGTTTTCAGTTGATAAGATATACGAGTATTCCTGGGTCTAAAATCTCTTCATCATTGCACTGGTAGGTGTGTAATTAATTTTTTTGCGGAAAGTTAAGACGGTTTATATTAATTGATTATTCCATTTGGGGGATATTAATTTTGCAAATTTCAAACACGTGGTATCATTTTTTATCTGAATTCATAGCCCTGTTTCCGAAAATAACCAGCATGATTTAATTATTACAAGCATTATTATAAAAAAGTATCTGAGAATTATTAAAATGACAATATTCATGTGGTCGACCACGCTCACTTTGCCGTCGACCGTCGGCTCGTTCCTCTTTTCGCTGTACGTTGTTAATCGAATTATACTCCTTAGCATCATTAAATTAAAAAGTTGCTTATTGATCTAATAAAATGTTGTATGTTGAATGGTTTTTCGCTATCATAGTCTCCATATATTTTAATTTTACTTGTAACTAGTCATTATAGTATTTTCCGGTAGTATTCCGGATGTTCTATCAATTTACGATGATGCTTCACCCGTCGGTTACCTTATACAGTTGAAGCTATCATCAAATATATTTTCGAGTAAAATTTTTGAATTCATATTAAAACTTAGTTGTTTTGTTATAAATTTCCCTCGTTATGATATTGACCATATTTGTAGTTTTTAAAATTTTCTTTCTGCACACCCTGTATACACGTTTTCCCAACAGTACGTAATAAATTGCCTATATTTGTGAGTTTTGAGTGTTCTTTGTTTTAAACTTGGGATTTTCCTTCGGGAACACCCTGTATATTTGATTTTCTTTGTGTCTGTGAAAATTTTGCTTCAGTTGTTGTTTTAGGGCTTTCTTTTTTGCACTTCAAATTTTCTAATTTTTCGAATTTTCTGTTTGTGACACCCTGTATAATCGTTTTCCTTCACATCCCTGAAAATTTTGCTTTGAGCCTTATTAGAATTTATCTTCTGGCACTTCGAATTTTCTTTTTGTAACACCCTGTATTTCGTTTCCCATACGTAGGGTGAAAAACGAGCGATATTTGTAGGGTTTGAATGTTTTTTGTTTGCACTTTAAATTTTCCTTTTGTAACAGCCTGTATATTTGTTTCCATTTTCAATGACGTAGAAATTGAGCTATTTGCTAATTTCTTTATCCCGGTAAAACTGTACGAAGTGGTACTTGTTTATATATGCGCAGCTAAGCAGGTCGCAAGTCCTGTTTTAATATGGCGACATGTATTTTGTTGACTGGTAAAATCTAAACTTGTATTCTATTGTTAATAAAGAAATAGTAAGATATATTGGCTTCTTTGATTTGAGTGTACCCCTTCTATCATTTCAGGTACAGGTCTCGAAGAGAGTTCCCTCTCTCAGGGGATGATCCCCCACTATAAAAATTGTTAAGGTATCCTGTGTGATTTGTGTGTTCCTTCTTTCATTTCAGCTACAGGTCAGAACTTGTAAGAATATTTTTAAGTGTCACCTCTCTTGAGGCGACTTAAATCTTAGAAATATTTGAACAAGACCTTATAAGGATTGTCCTTATAAGGAGTTCCCTCTCTCTGGGGGTGATCCCCCACCATAAAAATTGTTGATATGCCTGATAATTTCGGGGATGAAGCGCAGAGACATCGTAGCTGTAGGATGGGCCGGGAGCAATGGACGCATCGAAGCAGGGGGCGATCGACCTGTAGACTGTCTTATAACGACACGTGCCAAAAAATTTAAAAATTTGATCCTCTCCTGTTCTCTTTCCTCTATCTCCTCCTCTTCTCTACTCTGTTGTTCTCTTCCTCCTGTCTTCTACTCTTCTCTGCTACTCCTTCTTCTTATTCTATTTCTCTGTTCCGCTCCTCCACTTACTTTCTTACTTCTCTTATTGTCCCTTCACTTGTATTTCAATTTCTCTTATATTTCGTTGCAATTCATATATGCAACCCAAATTACACCTGATATTTTTATATTTGAGAAAAATGCCTTCTGTACCTGAGATTCGATCCGTGTCCGCTAGCATGCCAGCAGGTGCACGTCTCCACTCGACCACCGAGTGTTTTTATCATTGTTATTTGATTCTTCTATTTATGTTTCTACTTTATATAATTTTTAAAACACAACGCAATACAAGCTAGAGTTGTATTGTACACATTTCAAACACATAAGATTTAGGACTCGAATGCTGAAAACGTTAATGAGGATGCCACAAATAACTATGCATGAGATTATAATATTGCGTTTTACTGACACCTTTAAATATAAATACATTTTTTTAAAATAAAAAATATCGTCAATTTTCAAATTTCGTAACAATAATTACTTGCTTTAATTACATTTCAAAACAGATCACAACACATTGGTACACAAATAGACAACAATAAAACAACACATCTAGTAGACAATAACACAATATTCAATTCGTAGACAACACTAGAAACATGCAAATTTAATACTACATTTAACATAACACAAGTTACAATTACAAACACAATATACAGTATAAGACAAATATAACTTTACATTATTAGTACATTTAAAAACACAACACAAATGACTTGGACAATACGATACATTTACAAATCAAAACAAGTTCCTAACGTCTACACAAATAACACAAGGTACAATCAAAATCACAACGTAAATTAACAACGGAAGAGCAATGCACATTTAACTTTACGCACAAGACGGCCATGTCTTACTTGATATTACTACTAAGTACTACCATTACAGCTACTAGATCAACATATTCAAATAAGTCTACATAATTTCTACGACATATGTAACAAAAGATGACACAACACACAAATACCTACAATATACACTTATCTACTTAATTCTAATATGATAACAGAAAATGCGTGCACATTTATCACAGACCGTAGCACATATTACAATAATAATACAAATTAATACATATTTCTGGTCTTATTAAATATAAATCGCAAATTAGGACGCCTTAATTATAGTATGAGAATGCGACATGCTCTATTTTCTCAAGAAGGTAAATTAAATTAAGAACAATATTCTTGCGATGTCACCGCTGTTTGAATAAAATTTGTTACATAAGTTTTGCAAATCTTGCGCTGTCTTTCTAAATCATATCACATTTTAACACACGTTATGCATTGTTTTCAACAAATAATAAATTTTCAAGTGTTTGAAACAATGCAACAAGACTATAAGACTTGCGCGGATTCAATTTCTGAGCGTATTAAATTTAGCGCTGTTTTTCAGCAATATAGAACTTTCCTCACTTATTTTAATCATGTACAAATAAATTTTGTTAAGGACAGGTCACATTTCTTCTGTTCATCTCCTACCTTCCGGAATACTATGCAGGACAAATATAGAGTTGGTACTAATCGAGCTCCATTCCCCTGTCAGACAACGACCAATTATTCTTCTTCATCCTTTTTCAGTTTTCTTCACAGCGTCAAAAACTTGATTCTAAAAAAACACATTGTTAAAACTCAATTTGTATATTTAAAAAACATTCTGTATAAAAAAACTTAATATTAAAAAATAATAAATTAAATTATTTACATTTTAATGTTTAATAACATGTTGTCAAGGAACCTGAAGGTTATTCCTCTAACATCTTAGGACATCGAAATTTGCAAATTTCTGGTGAATCCCGCAAGGATAAATGGCGTTGAATTGATCTCGGATGAATCATAACGTCGATAAACCATTTCCGCAGACAACGTTACTACCTAAAGAAAAATCAAAAAACATTTATTTCAGTTGTTGACAATTAAAAACAATTCCCGAAATTCAGCGCAATTTCCACCGCGTGTTATTAAAGAACACGAAAATTATCAATTTTCAAGAATCTTTTACAAGGTATCCCCACAAGATTTTCGACGATTGCTGATAAGCGTTGTAAAGAATGGCTCTCGCACTTTCAAATCGTGAAAAAATCATGCAAATATCTACACGATTAGAGAGATACAGCGTAATTTCCACCGCATGTTTTCGAAAAACACAAAAATTAGCAATTTTCAAGAATATTTTACAGGGTGTTCCCGCAAGATTTTCGAGGATTGCTGATACACGTTGAAAAGAATGGCTCTCGTACTTTCAAATCGTCAAAAAGTCATGCAAATGTCTAAAACAATTCGCGCGATACAGCTCAATTTCCACCGCGTGTTTTCGAATAAAAAAATAGCAATTTTCAAGAATTTCTATAGGGTGTTCCCGCAAGATTTTCCACGATTGCTAATACGCTTTGAAAAGAATGGCTCTCGCACTTTCTAATAATGAAAAAATCATGCAAATATCTAAAACGATTAGCGAAATACAGCGCACTTTCCATCGAATGTTTTCGAAAAACACAAAAATTAGCAACAAATCAATGCAATTGCACAGACGGTTCGCGAGATACAGCCAAAATTTCAACCGCGTGTTTCGATAATTAATTAAAATAGTAAAAGTTTTAGAGCGATTTTTAATTTCTAGTGTGATTTTAGGGGGCGGCAGGGCCGCATCGTATAAATTGACTCTCGCGCTATCCAAATTTGAAAGAATCATTGAAATTGCACCAACGTTTAGCAATAATTCCTGGGGCGGCAATGGCTCATCCTATAAAATAACTGTCGTGTTATGAAAATTTTGAAAGAATCATTGAATCATTTCAATCGCGAGATCCGAAATTTCGCACTTGTAATGAAAAAAATCACAAAATTAAGAATAATCGAAGTGGATCATATTTTGCTTTATTTAAAAGAAAGAACGTGGAATATGGAATTTATAGATAAACTTAAAACATATATTCACTATACCTATATACCAACACTGAAATGTGTTGTCTGCACGAACAAGCGGACAGTGCAAGATACAAACTGACATTGATAAACGCGTAGACAAAAATGATAACAATTCTATTGTAAATACTGACTAATGTTGCAATGTAGAAACTTTCTCGAAAGACAACATACAAAGGACCATAAATGCCAATTACAGGAACGTTATATAAACAAAATTATTCATGAAGAGTAAATAAATAATATTAATTCAATGCGAAACTTACCAGTGAAACTGATGTTCCCCGTGGTTTGCAGCAAGCACAATGCCGTAGATGCTGGATTGTAACGAATTCAATTTTCCAGAGATGTAACACAACGCACCTCGAATTTACAACATAAATACCGATAAAATGAAATTAATTTCTTAATAGCAATTTAGATAAACTTCAAACAAAAACAAACGAGGCTTGCAAGAGGAACGCGTGCGGACACACCGGCGCGTTTAAGACTACTAGACTACGCAGAGCGCACCGCGTACACCGCGTAAGCCGACCAAGCACGCGCACGCGGCAACATGCGCGCAACCTGCAGCGCAGTATTTCCGTCAAGGACACGCGCAAAGGAAACTACTGGAGCCGCAAGGAACATGTTTGAGCAAATCTAACTATAATCTCAATCTTTTCTACATTTTTAAAACGAGTGTATTATTCTGATTGAGCCAAGTGAAGCAAATACAGAACTTCCAAAGCGAAAGCGGGCAAAATTGCCGATCAGCTCATTGGCGAACAATCAATATATTGGAGCCAGATCAATTTTCCCGAATAAAATCAATATCGTAAAAGAGATAAGTGATCTCAGAAAAGTTTGTTACAGGCAGTGAAAGACCGATGGTTATTTAGCTACAGTCAATATTTTGCTCGGTGTTTGCATATCGTAAAGTTTTATTTCAAGTAGAAAATTCATTTCTATTAAACTTGTGCTCGTACGTAAAAAAATAATCTTGTAACATGTAACAAAAAAACTCAAATAATTTAACAGTTCCAATCATGGTTGTGTGAAAGAACAAGCCACTTTTTCAAGCAAATGTTCTGGATAACCAAGCTCACAGAGAGATTCATCAGTGCAGAGCGCAAATCGTCGCAAGCTGTTCAACTTGTAGGCGCCAATCGAACGCGTCAACCATTCAAAATCAACCGTCGCGACGTGTAGTTTATCTGTCCAATCTACAGACACAATTAACACATACAAGTCATAAACTTGGTTATGAAAGCACCTACCTTGATATTTGTAATATTGTTCATCGTCTTGCGTTTGCGCGGTCTCTGCAATAATAAGGCAAGTGTAATCCTCTTTCGGAAGCAAACTCTCGGCGGTTGGAACAGTCACACCTCCTAAACTCTTAACGATTTCCTATTAAAGCATTAATAGTAGTTATTTTAAGCCCTTCGTGTACATTGTAAATAAAAACTAACCTCAACTTCAATAGAAGTTATAAGTTCGAAAGGTGGTGCCACAAACATCTTAAATCCTTCGAATAATGGCCTAGTTGCCCGAAATAATCTAGATTGTTTCGGTCCATCTTGTCCCGTCACGTCGTAAACCTCATAAAATTCCTATTTAAAACAAAACTCTAAATATTAGCAACAGCAATAACAATATAATTATTATAGACTTACCTCAGGCACTAATTTGTTGTGAATTAAAGAGTCCTGCACCCAGTTACTGTTCACTACCCAGATGCCGGCCGCTACAGCCCTAACATATTTAATAGTATGATCGCGTGCCTGGTTGGCATCATTGGTAGCAACAACCATGTGCGTGACACTGGAATCAAACGCACTCGAATACCTGGCAAGTCCACGTTTTGCAAGCGCGTTGATTGCAATCATCTGGGTCTTATTCAAACGTGTACATGCAACTACCGCAATCGATTTCTTGTTCATGCTGGGAATGAAGAAATCTTCTTCAACCATTGACGGCACTTTATCCACCGCTCCTTTACGTAAAAATTTAGTAATAGGAAGTTGATTGGTATTGGATTTGATGGTAGGTGTAACCGGAGTAAGCTTAGAATGTGGCGTGCTAGTTACCCTCTTCGTGTGTCCACTCAGTGTCGACCTCTTCGGAGTTATTTTCGATTGAAGAGAACCAGACGCTCGAATCGGTGACAGATTCAAAGTATTTTGAGTCGTATTCCATATAGGATGTTGCGAAGTAATAGAACGCACAAAATCCGCTGCATCATCTTGAAAATCAGGCGGCGGAGCTAATACAACTTCTTCACACGGAACTTCCGGCTTTCTAAACTTCGTCGGAGTAGTCTCCGGTGTACTGAATATCAATTCTTCATCGCTTTCCACATGCACCACAGATTTTTCAGCAATTTTGTTAGGCCGAATCTGCACATCCTGTAAAACCCGAATTGCAGTCACCTGCATTGGATTCTCATCAAGTATATTCGTGGAAATACTACTGTTGGAGTCATTATAGATTAGCTCCGAGTGTAGGTTATGTAGGGTCGACTTTGGCTTGTCCCTAGAAGATGTGCATGGCGAAGGTGTAGCGTAATTTTCAAATAACTCGTCATCATTATCTTGGAAAATACTGTCAGTGAGCAAATCAGCTGAACTAGGTATTGCTTTCTGTGAAGTAGCCTTTTGTTTTACGCGAGGAAGTGAGGATACATGACGATTCACTGGGTTGGATATCATTTGTTCACATTTCGCGATTAAATCCTGAGTATTTGTTTTAATGGCAGTTTGGATTGCTTTCGGCTGGCAATTATCGTTCTTCTTACTGCTTTCAAGTTGATCTTGGAGTCGATTCCAAACATCGTCCAAATATTTCTAGTGGCAAAAATAGCGACATAAAATAAAACAGGGTGCAAATATGATTGGTTGCATACTTACATCAACGTTAGGCGAATTCATCTCATCATGTTCAGCAGCTTTCTGACTTTCCGAATCAAAGCAAACTGAAATATCTTCTCTTATATACTGATTAACAACTGGCAGTGGTTCTTCGTCTTCCGAATCACTAATAGTCAAGGGTTTCACGCGCTTATTCGTAATACCAATGTGGTCTGAAAGAGAGCTTGATGTCCCGCCGCCAGGACTTGAATATAGCTTTCTTCGAGATTTTTTGTCAATATTTTGAGTTTTATCTACTTCCCGCACATTGCTTTGTGGAGGTTCATTCTCAGTTCCTAACTCACTGTTTACAGCAGATATTCCCGGTGAACGCATTTGTATTCCGTTTATAAACGCAGTAAGCGGCATTTGTTCCGTGTACATATTCGTAAAAGTCTCACCTTTATTAATTTCTGCCTGTTTAATAGCAGCCTGCGTGTCAAAATCAAGACAATCCAACGTATTTTTCATCTCACTGTCTTCTGCAATCGGCGGTATTGTTCTGACAGACGAATTGTTACCACTTTTAGGCGGCGAAGTTTGAACACCATATTCAACATATTTTCTTGGAATTGTACGTGCTGGAGGTGAAGTCTGTACCATTTTTGAAGCTGACAAAGTTTGCAATGTTTGTACGTGTGCACTGTAAGTTTTAACAGTGGTATCATCAGTTTGTGTGCTTTGATTGGGCAGTGTTTCGAGGAAACGCTCTAAACTTTCATCTTTACAAGTTAAAATGGCACTTATTTTGGAACATTTCGGTTCAAAGCTTTGTAATAATTGCTGTATCAAAGATACTTTATGGTAATTCATGTTATCCGTTTCATTGGTCAAAAAAGTTGAGAAACTTGCCTTCAAATCGTTGTATTGCCGTAGGAACTCATCGCATTTATTAAAAACACTATGAGCAGACAGTGGTGAAGGTGTTTGAGGTATAATATCATTGGTATTGTGAATTATTGGTTGAGTTGCCAGCATAAAAATGTCATCTTCATCATCCGCTTCTATTTCGACATTTTTAACTGGTGAACCTTTCTCGTCGGTGTTCGCCGTATTCAAAATTCCCACCTTGTAATTCGGATTAAAATCGATAATAATCGTTGAGTTTGTATCAACTGATTCACCTGCGATAGATGTCGCTACCTTGGGCCTCTTACAAACCTCCATCTCCTTTTGAAACTTTTCCATTTTTAGTTTTTTAGCATTAGACTTCATACCACTGCCGCCGGCTTCAGCTTCATTCGCCATTCTTCCATATTGTGATGCCGTGGTGGTACTGAATTGTGTGTCATGATTTTCTTTCTCAATTTGCGCGCTGGAAATTTTCAACTTTTTCGGAATTCCATCAACACGGTCGATTTTACTCGCTAGTTTATTAATTCTCGTCCAATCAGATCTTCTCGACTTGTCCGCAGCCTCAATAGGACTTTTTTCTTCCGGCTTTTTTCGTTTTTTACCGGCTGACTTTCGGGTTACGTTTTGATTGATTGCTTCCAAACATTGTTCTTCAATCTCTCTACATATTTCAGCTTTGGTAACCATGGGAAGACTATCAATATCTTCTATTTTTGATTCTTCCATTTCATTTACATCAACAGGACTATCCAATGCATGTTCAGCCAATTTACCGGAATTTGTTTCTTTGTCAGATAAAGACTCTAGAGACCGACAGTTTCGTTGATAATTTTGATTCACCGCTTCCCTAGCCGGCAGAGTTCTACGTTGAACAGCACGTTGTGAAACTGATTTCAAATGTTTCGGTATCTTGTCATGTTTCGCATCCTTTTCAACTTTCTGTTGGGTTTGTGTCTTTCGCTGAAACATATTCTGACTGTTACTCAGCCACTTGAGGACATTCTCCTCATAAGGCTCTACAATTTGTTCATGTCTGGCTATTTTCACCACTAATTTTGGTTGATTGGTTTCAGTTTGTTTTGTTGCAACTTGAGGCTTGTCTTCACTCTTCTTAGGTGATTTAGGTGTCAATTTCTTAGTAGTTTTTGGAGATAAACATTTATTTTTCACAGGTTTTGCAGGAATAGTTTTCCCTTTACTTTCTGGAACTTTCTTTGTAGGAATCTTACTAGTAGGGGTAGAAGATGAAGGTAATACCGGAATCTCTTTCAGCTTCTTGCATAAACTTTGTACAAATTTGAAAGCACCTTCAGTTTCAAGTGCTGGTTGAGCCCGACTCTTCATTGTTCTGGTGAAGCACACTGGACAGTTATAACTATTTCCATTTAAGTAACGTTCGATGCACGACGAACAAAACAAGTGATTGCAGCATAGTTCAATAGGATTTTTCAAAATTTCTGAACTTAAAATAACATTCACGTTAAATGAGGGGTTATGTTGACCAGTTTGTAAATTTTATTTTTACTATGCTTACCAGATAGGACATTTCAATAAAGTGGTGATATTGAAGAGACTTGAGGCTAACGCAGCGAACTGAGCCGAATTTTCCGCCTCCATCTTGTTGATGGTGTAATAAATGAAAGTTCTACATGAATTTCTGATGTTTGATGTTTTCCGCCATAATTTGCCGCTTAAAGTACTGAACTGAGGAATTCGAATTGTTCGAATTTGACGTTTGACGTCGAAACCGTCAAATGTCTGGGGATTTTATTCTAAAATATTGGGGGGATTCAAAGTTACCGAGTGTATCAAACAATTAAAAATGATGGATTCTCGACGTTTCTCCGCGAAACTCCTTTGCTTTAAGAATAATTTAAGTTTCTACATAACTTTGACGCGTAAAGCATAGTAAATTAAGTATCAAGTGCGCAAAACGGCACGAGATTGATTAAGCGCGAGCGTAACGAGACTAAAACCCGAGATTAAGGAACTTTAGTCACGGCCTTGGCCGTCCATGACTAAAATGCCACTTTTCGGGTCTATAAATCGTGTAAAAAGTGGCGCTTTAAAAATGGAACTAAGAAATTGATTAAAAAAGCAATGTAACCTAACTAAACGATTTTTTTTCAATGGCAATCGGTAAATTTATATCTTTCTGCTCAGGTTATATAAAATAAATGTCGAGAATATCGACGTTCTTTAAAAAGTGTGTATTATCATTATTTCATCTTCATTTTACGTACTAAACGATATTGAACATAAAGTGCGCGTTACAAATCAAAATAGCATAATAGCTTAAAAGCTGCAAACACAGTTGCAAAACACTGTACAGTAAAAAATCTCATCAAATATAAAGTAAATTTTCGAAATTAATTCAATAGATTCAATAAAATTACTAAAGATTACATTCAGGTAAAACTTGACCCTATCCATGATTATTACCTACATATATATGTATATAGTCTTATTTAGTTAAGTTAGTGGGTAATATCGTGACCGCCATCTTGAAAATCGTTTAAACTGCCGATATTTTATCGGGAACGAGCTCGACTTGAATCATTGACAGATCGAGCATGTGGCGTTGGTATTTCTTATAGAAAGCGTGCGCCGAAGCGACGCTCTTAAAGCGAATCTTTGCCTGTCGCTCCTTTGACGACATTTCGAGGTTCTGAAAAGCAAACATTTTGTATTGTCACGACCGTCCCGATATCTTTCAACATCCTTACAATTATTAAACTCTAGCAAAAATACTATAAAAACACAACTATGAACACAAAATCAATAAGATCAGATAGCAACAGGTACAAATTTAAGTCAATAAATGTTACAAAATATCATTAGAAACGTTAACAGCATTATAAACTTCAAATAAGAACAGAACCATTCTGGTCTTTCGTATAAAAATCTTAACGGTTAAATCAAAATCGCGCTTTTTGGTTAGTTTTGTAGTAAATAGTTAACAAGTCGATATAATATCTGAAAATAATATTAAACTTGTACATTTTAACGTTTATAAATTACTTCTTTTAAGCGTATGGAGAATACTGTACTTTATTCATATCTATACTTCGTCTTAAGTAGCGTCTGCGGTAAAACGTACGAATCAGAAAGTTCGTATTTACTCATGACTATACATGATTGCAAATATAATGCAATTAATTACTTCTGGTAGTTCAAATATATGACATTTTTATAATTATTATAAAAAAATATTTTATGGCACTCATCATTGGTATCATTGTTTGTGTGTTCGTAAATTCATGAGGTTTGAGGTTATAATACTAAAAAAACGTATTTTTCAAAATTTGATATTCCGACTTTTAAATTGTAAGTCATTCGTTTGCTATTCGCCTATAAATCAAATAACTCAAATAACCCTGTAATCAGCACTGACCAAATGAGGTTAAATCGGTCGGTACAATTGTCATAAAGCGACACCTAATGGTTCAAAAGGTGAATAGTCATGAAACATTCACAGCCTCCACAAAAGGCACAATCGTTTTTTGTCATATAGCAACGCTTTGGTTCTACAACGTTAATAAAAATTACTATAAAAATATAAATTTCAACTCTCTTTGTAACTTAGGCGCTGCTTAGAAAGCTACATAACCTTTTAACTAATAAAATGTGTAAAAATGCTCAAAAATATCTTGCTCATTGCCTCACTAGGTTATATTTATCATCACAGATTACGAGATTCGAAATAATTGAACGTCACGGCAAAGTAAACTCAAAATAAAGTAAAAATCTAGTGATTGTATTGCATAAATGTGGTAAACTGAAAAACTATGTCCTATTATTCTCTTACCTGAACGAGCCCAACGCCCTGACACAGCTTTCTCAGTTGCGGCTCGCTGCTACTGGCGGCCAAATTCCGCACGACGACAACCGGCGTATCCAATAGCGAATTATCCTTAGCGATGACTGTACGAGTCGATAGGAAACCAGTAGTCAACTTGGGCGTTGGCGATGTTGGGGGCGCTTTCGTAGGCGCAACTCCTTGCTTAATCCTAACTTTAGTAATTGTTGGTATTGCGTTTAGCGCGGCGCTTGTTCCAGTGGTGAGTTGCACCTTCTCACCGTCAGATCGCGTTAACACTCGTAGGTTAGGATTGTTACCGGATACTCTTGTGATTAACTTTGGGCGTTGCTGTTCTTTTGGAGGGAAGCTTCCAGAGTAGGTATGTCGCAAACCTCACCGTTTTTCTTCATGATAGCTATTTTGCGCTTACGCTCCTTTTCGGCTAGAATTTCTTCACGTAGACGCTTCTGTTCTTCTATTTTTAAGCGGTAGGCTTTGGTTTCTTCATCTTCTTCGATTTCTGGCGTTGGGTCCTAAACATATTTGAATATTTTAACCAATTCAATAAAAAATATATACAACTTACTTCTTTATAAGTAACAGTTGCATTTTCCTCCTCTTCTTGTTGCTGCGGTTGTTCTTCTTCTTCTTCTTCGTAATATTCCTCTTGATTTTCTTCTTCATGATGTTCATTATAATTATTCCAGTTCCGTCGCTTTGTATACTCGGTATTATTGTAATCTTCTCGCCAATTATCATTCCGGCGTTTGAGTAACGGGCGAGTATTATAACTTCCTCGATAATTACCTCTAGGAGTAAACTGTGTTTGATTCTGATGAAAATTCGGCCTGAACTGCTGTTGGTGTGCCCTCGGCCGAAATTGTTGACTCTGATTATTGTGAAAGTTTTGATGTTGCGGCTTAAAATTGGCGCAATGTTTCTGGAAATGCTGCTGCCGTGGAAAGAACTGTCCTCCCTCATGTGTCAACATCAGCGGTGGTTGCTGAGGACGTTGTAGCAACGCAGGTCTCTGAGGAGGTGGAGGTTGCGGTGGCGGATTAAAACCAGTATTCTGATGAACTGGTGGATGATTCTGATTCATGTTGTGATTTTGTGGATACGAGTCAAAATACGGTGTCATTTGTTGTTGTGGATGTTGTTGAGGATTATGATGCATGTGCATATTTTGCACGGGTTGTTGATTCTGGTTATACATTGGTGCAACATGTTGTTGTGGAATTTGGTGTTGATAGTTTAATGGTTGCTGAGGTTGGTTAAACTCATAAGGATATTGTTGTTGTGGAGATGGTTGATGGTGTTGATGTTGATGCTGTTGATGTGGTTGACAAGGGAACTGATTGTATTGATGATTTTGTTGAATAGGAGGTTGATAAGATGGTTGCATAGGTTGCATAGATCCGTCACAATGGTTTTGTTGGTGTTGTTGCACTGGTTGATGAAACTGTTGTGTTGGTTGCCAATTATTTTGATTCATAGGCGGACCAAATTGTTGGTTATTCATTCCCTGAAATAATTAAAAATCAAATAGAAATCAATCAAATAATCATTTTTAAAACATACCATTTGATTATATTGAGGTTGACATTGTTCTGGATGTTGTTGCTGTGGCTGATGGTGAAACCTCTGTTGCCCCACAAAAGGTGCAGTAGTGACAGTTCGCTCTGGTTCATAATCCCTAGATGGATTCTGCCATGGTTGTACAGACTGTACAGGCTTTTTCACACCTTGCAGAAAGGTTGGATTCACATAGCACTTCCCAGAACCTATCCTTAATCCATTATTGTATCCTCTTCCCCTACCCCTGCCAGTACCTCTTCCTCCACCTCCCCTACCTCTGTTAAACCTATGTTGATAACTGTCTCTATTACTGCTATTGTTTCTATTCTGTACAGTTGCTTCATGTGCATCTATCTGCTGTTGTGTTCTTTCACTTGCAAATTTATCACGATGATTATCTTCCTGTTCCTCTTCTTCTAGTAATTCAGCTAAAATATAAAAAAAAGTAACAATCAAAAGTATAGTGGTGTTAGTTTTCGTTCCAAACCCTTCCAATCTTCCTCGCCATCGTCCCCATACAGAAGTTTAGCTTCTTCCTCTTTGCCCAAGTCATAATCTTCACGATCATCGCTATCATCGCCCAATAGCGCGTCAGCAGTGTCACTAAACAAAGAAAATCGCGGATAAAAAGCAGCCGGCACATGAAACAAGGTTTTATCAACTTACACATCAGTCATCGCGTTCGTTAGCAACAAATTGACGCAGTTTGTTGCAGGGAACAATGGAATACTGCCGAATTGTAAGGATGTGGTTGAATTCTAACCTCCATAAATAAAGCGCGTATCTACCCCACTCCGTACAAGCAAAACCCATATACTGAGTGTTGAAGTTATACAAATCGCATTAAAACAGAAATCTTTATTGAACAAAATAAGATGAACTAAAATCATAACCTAAACAGGTTCAATGTCATCCATAATTAATCATAGGCATCAATAGATGCGTAAGAGATCAAAAGCATGCTTAGGGTGGCACTGAAAAGTTGGCCGCAATGCGGATTTTACGTTCGCGTCGCGGTTTACCCGCATTTCCTTCCTTTTCCTTTGAATCTCGTGCGTCGCTTTCATGTTTTGAGTTTCTCGGTGACTTCTCCTGTCCAGCGACTTGTCCTTGTTGTGCCCCAGAACGATTCTCATCGCTCTTACGACCATGTGAGTTCTTTTTCGCTGATTGTTGCGAACTGTTGCTATTACGATGGATCCGCTGCTGCTTGACGGCCTGCAGCGGTACAAAAGGTACCGATGGGCGTGTCGCTGACAAACCAGGTATTCTAGGCGCCGGTTGTGCGGGTTGTTTATGCCTTGGTTGAGCGGCGTGCCTTGGCCCAGGCTGTTGTTGAACATTCTGTTGCTGTGGTTGTTGTAACTGTTGTTGCAATTGTTGAAACTGTTGTTGGGTTACGTATTGTTGCGGAACTTGCGGTTGCGGCATTCTAGGGTGACCAAACGCACCCTGAGGCGGTGGTGGTGGTTGATGTTTGGGTGGTGATTGTTGTTGTTGAGAAGGACGCGGCATGCACCATTGCATAGGTGGCGCTGGGAATGCAATTGGTTGGTTATGTGCGGCCAGTTTTTGCAAGCCAATCTCCGCCACGTTCTCAGTCGCTTCTAATTTCGTGAGAGCAGGTTGGCCAAAAATGGGCTCATTTAGGAAGGACAGCTTCAGTTGAACTTGATACTGCTGCGTGGTTTTATCATGGAAGTACTGATAAAGAGGGCAACGCAATCCGCGGCGTTGGCATTCAGTTAACAACTTGATGCCAAAGCCTTTTACAGGTGGTCCTTGAGCCGGCGCTGCAGGAAACGGTAAGCTTTGTGGAATGGGTGGGGCAAATGGTGTTGGTTGAGAGGAGACAGGGAAGTCCATTGCAGCCGTTTGCGGCGCTGTTATGTTCATCTTTTGCATTTGAGCGGACACATGCTAGAAATATAATAGATTCAATGAAATAAACTTCATATTAATACACAAAAAGTAACTTACAGCGAATAAATCATTAGCAGTCAAAGAAACTCCCAAATTTGGCTGGACAGAATCCTGTTTCTCAGGTGATTTTTTAATTTTCACTTGTTCTTGTTGTTTCGGCTGTTTGGGCGGAGTATCGACATTCTTTTCTTGTTGTTCGTGTTGGCCATTCGTAGTTGTACTCTTTTTGAATGGCATAAAATCAATCTGTTGACTTGAAACTTTCGCTTTCTTCGCATTTTTTCGAACACCCACATTCCTACCATTACTATTATTCATCTCCTGCTGAGAAGGTCCCTGCGACGCATTATTTCCCGCATAATTCTGGAAACTTTTCTCGTGTTGCGGCGATCGATTATTCCAAGCGGCGAACGCCGAATTCTGATTCGGATTCGTAAACTTTTGCATCGAACCACCAAACGGCGACGGATTGTATCCGATTTTCTGATACAATTGACCGGGCTTGCCAGTCTTCATCTCCATCTCCCTCACTCCGTGCGTCCGATTAATCAACGACAACCGCGACATTTTGTACCCGCGCAACGCCGAGCAATTCAATGATAATCCACCGGGGAAAGGCTTATCAAACAACACGTCGTACAGGAAATCCTCTGGTTTGCCCGTCACAGACTTATGTATCGCTATAATCGTCCCCACGTGGCCCAACGGTACGGTGTAGCTCTCGCGGACGCAAACGACGCGATCGTACAGTCGGAATGTCGCCTTCGGGTCGGGCGAAAGGTTGCCCATTAACAGTCCCGGCTGCAACAAAGACAAACACCACAATCAAACAACATTACAGACAATATTTACAATGTACCTCGCACTCGCCGAATGCATTCGAGCAATAAATAGACATAGTAATATGTCCCGGCAATAATAATCACGATCAAACAGGAAACTATCAACACCATCACGGTAGTTGTAATTAAATGACATTGATGTTTTCATCAAGCTTGACATAAACGTTTCAAGTGTCAGGTTTTTTTCTCCGTATAAATGTTTATATAAAAACGAATATTTTGCATGATGTCGACACCTCCGCTCAAGTCCCACACCAAATTCCACTTCTGGTCCACGCCCAACAACTACGCGCTGGCGCTGATTTGCTGGAGTAATACATTGGGCAACGCGCGCAAATACCCCGCCCTCTTTCAGAAGTATGGACACATGCAAGTGCTCCTCCCTTACTCGGTAGTAACCGCATTTCTCATCATACCGTTTGTCTACGCGGAGCTCATCATTGGTCAGTACACCAACAATGGTTTTGTTAATATGTGGCGAATGGCACCGATTGTACGAGGTCTGGTCTGGTCAATGGCGACCATCACCTTCTTCGCTGCACACTACTCACTCTTCAATACAATGCACGCAAGTTATTACCTGCTGAAATCATTCGAAACAATCCTACCATGGTCACGATGTGATCCATCATGGGCGACCGAAGCCTGCGTAAACTTCCAATCATACCCGGAGCAAAACATGACAAATACACAAAATAGCGTTGAGCATTTCTACAGGAATTTTGTTCTAAGTGAAAATGCGATGAGTTTTTCGGAAGTTAATATGAGATTGTTTCTCTTTCTCTTGGCGACGCTCATAATCGTAGGAGTGTGTTTGGTTGAGCGAATCAGGACCATTGAAAAACTACAAACCTGCATCACATTAACGCCGATTATCCTATTGATATCACTTACAGTCGCCGCGCTGTTAAATCAAACAAGTATCATTGGTATTTCGGCATTCGTGCAGCCAGATTTCGAAATGTTAATGGACTATCGCATGTGGGTGGATGTCGTGAACAACGCAATGACAAATGTTGGTCTCGGCATGGGTGGATTAATCTGCATCTCCGCGCATGGACATTTCCGAAGCAATATTTATACATTTGCAGCGCTAACACCGCTGTGCAACATGTTGACGGACATTCTCTTTACACTTTTTGTGTATTCTAACCTTTCTTCGGAAGCGATGAACAAAAATATCACAATGGACGCCATTTTTGAACAAAACGTCTCACTACTCTTTGTGAAACTACCGCTAGCGCTACTCGAATGGCCGTCGTATCAACAACTGTGGTCAATTGTATATTTTCTATATCTGTACATCACGGGAATGAGGTATTTACTCTTCCTATTGTTTACCTTAACCTCAGCGTTTCACGAAACCTTTCATTGTGTCTACCAACTGCGAAGATTCTCCATCGCCATGTTGTGCTTCATGATCATCTTTGTAATGCCGCTGTACATTTCACCGATAGGATACTCAATGTTTGTAGAAATGGAGAACTTTTGTTCATCAACATTTCTAACATTTATAGTTACAATTGAAGCGATTGGAATATTCTACATCTATAACGCAAGAAATCTCCTCGTTGACGTTCACTTTATGCTCAACAAGAAAATGACCCACCTGCAGTACTTATTCTATTTGATACCGGCGCTTCTCTGCTCGGTGACAATCGTCAATTTTTATCGCTGGGCGTGGGCATCGCGAGATTACAAAACTTTCTGGATTTTCATCATTCAATGCGTAATTCTCGGACTGATGATTGTTTTCTTCATTTCGCACTTGCTCACCCACATTATGACAAATTGGGGGAAAAATTACAAGTTAATCTTGGCACCAGCCGAAAATTGGGGGTGTAGTAATGAAGAAACACGCAAAAGTCGAGAGTTTTTTAAAAGTGAGACTACTGATGCACGATTTGCATACCGGCAAGAATTGTACGAGAGGACAATTTCCGCAATGACTTAATCTTTCTATACGCACATAAAAATCATGCAAAACAATAAAATTTTTAGTTTTAATCGTGTGTACCTTGTAGAGTAGAAAAGGTTTCACTTGCATGACGACCGTTTTCGGCGCTTCGGACTTCTTTTCGTGTTCATCGATGATATTCTCCAATTGTTTCACTATATCTGGTTCCAAGGTGTTACTACCACACTGTTGTTTTTCTATGGAGTAGTATTCTTGACTTCTCAACCAATTGACAATTTCTTTTACAGTTTCACCGCTCCTTTAAATAAAAATTAGGCACATATAATGATTTTAAAACTTAATCAAAAACTCTACTTACCCATTGTCTTCTGGGAAAATCTCGTACTCATAATACACATCACAGTTTTTACTTGTTTCTAAAAAGTGAAACAACTTCGGATATTTCTCCTGATAACTGTTCAGCAAATCGATGGCTTTCTGCGAGTACAGCCAAGCACCGTCTTTCTTCGTATACCCAGGAATCTCTTCGTTGCGTTTGTTGAATTTCAAATTCAAGCCGACATTGTGTTTCGGCGCGTCATCATGCAGCCCCATCGAACGTACACCACCCGTGAAAATAAGTATCGTGCCGGTGATACGCGAAAATAAACGTTTGGATACATTCGCTAAAGACGCCGCAATATGCACGGGCATGTAAGAAGTCGATAGTTTTTGCTCCATTCTGTAGAGATGCCTTAAATCCGGTTCGTCGGCCACAGTGAATGTGAGTTTTACGCGACCTTTCTTCAAGGATTCGCTACTATCTTGGACCTTAAAATAATTCACATTGAATAATAATAATATTTTAAATGATTTTAAACTTACAGTGCCTTGGTAGCCATAATGAGGCAGCCCAAGCATGAAACAAGTCGAATTCGCAGTGAAAACATCTTCGATATTCTGATAGGGTTTGTACTCTGGATTGTGCTGCGTTATGTTTTTGACAATCACTTGATAAGGATACGCATTGGTAGTGTCAGACCATTGCTTTTCCAGATTGATGCGACCTTGCGACGTGAAAACATATTTGCGTCCGGTCATCAGTCTGCAATGCACGAGGATGTCTGTCTCACCAACAATTACACCTCTTTTATCGCGATAACTAATAAATAATGCAATTAGTTACACAACATATTGTTAAACACACTTGACTTACTATTCTATTATGCCATCCTTTTCTATTTTCCAATTATGACCCACGTTTCCTTTGTTCGATTCAACTTTGTACTCGCCAGGTATATTAGCGTAGTGATACCGATATTCACTAGTTGAAACAGACACAACCCTGCAATAAGCAATTAAAATTATTTAAGCATTAAACATAAGCAATGGAAACTTACATTGCTTCCACTAAATGAGGCCATGACACAAACACAACATTGCCGAGTAATTCCTCGGCGATGGCCTCCGGTGCGGGTAAAGGTTTCGGTAAAATCTCCAGATAAAGAGTTTCGCCCCTGCTTGGTTGATCAAAAACTTTTACACCACCTTTTTCTAAATAGCTCTGAAAATACACAATACAATGTTTATTTGGTTGCCTAACATGAAATTTTGCTTTCGTATTGAATTAAAGGTTACCTTGTACTCTAAGTGTTTCGTAGTTGGAAATCCCGGATAATATACATCAAACAACGCCCCGGGATAAGCGCTCTTAACCAATTTCTCTTCCGGAACGCGTATTTCTTCATTCGTAATCTTTGTGCATAACGCATGATTGTTTGTCACCGGTGGAAAATATTCCGGCGCTTCATACTCGGCTAAATCATCAGTGGTATACTCATATACCAACATTGGTCCGTGCGTGTTTCGTTTCACCTCCTCCGGTGTCAACTTATCATTACAAGTCGCCATCGCAGCGAGTAATCGTTTCTCGTCGATAAAAGGAATGAGCACGACCGCTTCCCAGTCTTGTTTCTTACCGTTCAAATCCGTGTTGAAATTCGTTGGGTAATAATCAAAGATTTGCGAATTCGAATCTTCCATTAGAGGATGGTAACACTCGGGTAATAACTTCTTAGACGCAGTAGGAAGCACTCCGAGAAGCTGTTCGTAAGGATGAAAAGGTTTACCAAGATCAAACTCAATTTTGAAGTCTTTAAAGTCCTTGATGTCGGAGATAAATGGCGCGTAGTGGTGTTCATAGTACCAAGACCATGAACACACACCACTGTAGTAGTAATTGAGGTTCCATTGGATTGCCCGGACGTAGCCTTCGGCTTGTGCGCGCATAACCTCACTAACCAAAACAAAAAAAACCGTAACCATTTTAGTTTTTAATAAATCTAGGTTAGAATTTCTATGAGATTTATTTCTACTTACGGTGTAACTTGTTCGTATTGAAGTTTGTTCATGTAATAGTCTTTCTTGTGCAGTTTAAATTCAGCGTCCAGTAGATCGTCTTCGCTTAAACTCTCCGATTCGCTTTCGACAACCTCCGAATTGTTTTCTTCCGTCTCCTCGGCCAAATTCTCATCGGAAGTTCCTACAAACTAAATATTTCCGGGTTAAATCGTATTTTTAGGTTATGTTTTAAAATTTTACCGTATCTGTTGCCTTGATTAGCGCAGCTAAATCCGAGTTCATTGGTTTAACTTCTTCACCTTCCAAAGCACCAAACAATCCTTCATCCGCGTCCTCACCTTGCCACTCTTCTAATTTTCTTGGTTTATACTGTAAATAATCATTTTTTTTAGATATTTTTGTTAATATAATCATACTAGTTTTTGCCCGCGACTTCCTGCCGGTAGTGTTTAATAAAAATGTAATTCGTTTTTACTCTCTTGTTCTAGACATAGTATGTGTCAATTCTTTCAATAAGATTCGCAATTTTATTTTAAAGAAATTAATTATATAAAGAATTGCTAATAATGCACTTCAGCGCGCCATCTCGGATTCAACTATTTAACTATAATTATGATTGACTCTCAATGCCAACTTTTATCCTATAGAAAAGGGCTGTCTTTAGGGTTTTCCCGGCAATTATTCGAATTTTTCTCGCCATAAAAACCATCCTAAGACTTTAACAAACATTTAAAAAAAAAGAATTGGCCAAATTGGTTTAGGCGTTGTTGAGTTATGCGCTTACCAACACATTTTGTGATTCATTTTTATATTTTAGATTTATTATGTAACACTTACACTAGTCCGTTCCTTTTCGTTGGGTCGTCGTCCTGTTTTACTCTCAAAATACTTCAAATCAGCATACTGTTCGCTAAACTGCTCCATGTCAATACTGCACAATGTAGCCATAAACTTCTCGAAGCGTTCCAAGTTTAATTTACCATTCTCGTTGATATACCCGCCAAATGTCGGCAGAACTTTCATGTATGCGTTGTACAACAACGGTAACGCACCGTTCGCAATATGCAGGTTGGGTAAATGCGGAATAAAATCATTTCCGACCAGAAATCCCATCAATACCCAATCATCAATAATACTCTCAATGTCGTAACCAAAGGACAGATTGTCTTTGACTGCAATAAACTCTTGCTCTAAGTACTCGCGCATTAGTGACAGATGTAGCAAGTAGAACGTAATTTGTTCGGGGACATTTTTACGTTTCTGATTGTTCTTCTTGCCAAACTTTACCTCCTCTCGCAGCAGGGAGAAGTGAGGTTCGTGCGTGCACAGCCCCAGCATTATTAAATCGGCGTCCAAACCATACAGACAATGTCGTGTATTTGGGTCGTGTCCTGGTTGCGCCCGTAGGTAACGAATGTAATCCATTACTTTATGTTCACCCTCACCAGGTGTCTAAAAACAAAACAAAAACAAAAAATCAAACATTATTGTTTCATTGCTTTCAAGTGTCATAATTTTTGTTGGATTGTAAATCATGATTTTAACCATCAAGCAAGAGAAAGCCCTGCGTGAGGCGTTCGAACGCGAAAAAAATTATTTCACGCTTTTCGAAAATTACCGCCGAAATTACAAACTGCGTCCGATAACAGCTAAATTCTATTCGAAGCACGAAGGCTTCGCCCCGGTTGGCGAATACAAAGTGACTGTGGAGGAAATTAATCAACACATCTCAGCAGGACCGAAAGAACGCCATCGTCGACCGGAAACTACTAATCATGAATACGGATGGTATAGTGAACCACTTCTGAAAATCAACGTCAAAGATCGACGTTTATCGCATCCACGAATGGGACATGATTTCATCCGACATTCGCTTCAAGTTCAGAAAGATAACAGGACCAAGGAGAAATTCATTGGAGTACCTTTCCTACTTCAATAATATGAAAGCACTTACCTCATGACCAGATAAAATAATTTTGCACTTCTGCCACAATGGATCAGTGCTAATTTTATTTACAATAAAATACTTCAATTGCTCCTGCAGTTTGGCCATGAATAGAGTGCCAGGCGTGATGCAATTTGAGTCAAACCTTGCCTGTTCAGGCATTGCTTCGCCTTTCTCTTGAGCTTTCTGCTCCATCTTTTCAGCCTCCTTGGCTGTACGAAAACGACGCCCTCTCTGTTGGTTCATCTTGGCCCTAGGCGCAACACCATCAACAGCCATGAAAAATAGCTTTTGTGGCTTGATCATATGAAATAACACTTCAATATAATGAAAAATGTCTGCAAAAATCTTCTCCTCTGTTATCCGAAAGTGTGGATCATTGTCGTCCGGATGCGAGCACATGTGGATGATCCCGTTCATGTCCAGATAAAGATTGTCGAATTCCGGTATCTGAAACGTTCATACATTGTTTTTGCCAAATCAACACTTTTCTGAGGGCTTTTTCTCAGATTTAAGGTTATCTTACCTGATATTCCTTGATAAGTTCCGTGAGACACGGATATCGCTCGGAAATGTACCGGAAAAACTTGGGTACACCCATCTTGAGCTTGTAACACTTGCAGATACACGATTTTCAAAATGGTTTGTAAACTTTTAGTCAGTTTTGATAAAAAATAACAGGAGAAATAACCGTCTTACACCATCACAATATTTTTGGACAATGCATCTACATCAACAGTATACCGACAGTAGATGGCGCTGTATCTGCACCACAGCTGGTTCAAACTAGTCAGTTAAAATAAATTCCACTATTTCCTCACAGGTGGAACTAACATTGTATCACGTGTTGCGTAACTTATTTTATTCTTTGAACATGTTTCGTTTTCAGCATTTTAAACTAAAAGAAAAAAAGTTAAATAAACAAATGCACGATTCCAAGAAAGTAATCATCTGCAAAACATCCTTGTTCACAACACACAATCAACCGTCATGCGTATAACATGTTTTCGTCCCAAATCCCAATAATTATCAAGTCCACTTACATGACATCAAAGTTTGCATATTGTTGATTGCGTAACACCATGATTAGCAAATATTCCAAACCTTTGGCTTTATATGTAATCAAATCGAAGATATAAATAGATGTCTGCTCATTTTGCACTTCAGTCATTCGCAAAAATCGTCTCAATAAACTTCATCATGTGGTTAATACTAACACTAATAATAACCACAGTCTCCACATTCTTCTTTTATTTCTACAATAAAAGATCACATGCATTCGAATATTGGAAACAACGTGGTTTTCCAACGCTGGAAAAAACCGCATTGGTTTTTCGGCGATTTTGCAGCAGCCATTCGAGGCAAAAAGTCATTCATGGTTGCCTACGGTGATGCACACAAAGAGTTCAAAAGACGCGGCCATAAAGTCGGCGGAATGTACCTATTACAACTGCCGATTGTGCTCGTAGCTGATAACGAAATAATGAAAAAGATGATGCAGACTGATTTCGACGCGTTTGCCGACAGAGGCATCGCCGTGGATCCGGTAAACAATCCACTCTCCATGCACTTGTTCTCATTGGACGGCGAACCATGGCAGAAAATCCGCAGGAAACTCTCGCCGACGTTCACCAGCGGCAAAATGAAGATGATGTTTCCAATCGTCGAGAAACACGTCGATATCCTCATCAGAGTCACGATGAAATTAGCTAGAACTGGTAGAGATATTGATTATCATGAATGGTTAGACAAGTAAGTTGAAATCTCACATAACCTAAAACATATAACCTTAAAATTTGATTTAATTTAATTGTTTTGTTTTATAAAGGGTTGGAATTGATATGATTGGTCACGTAGCATTCGGACTCGATTGTAACACGCTCGAAAGTGAAAATGAAACGTTCTACAGCATGGCACATCGTATAATGCGTCCCAGTAAATGGAAAGCAATGAAATTGATGTTCTTCAATTTAACAAATCCGGCTAGTATCATCAGTCTCCTATCCTCCAACACAGAATTGTCTGACTTTTTCATTAACCTGGTCAAGGACACAGTGGCACATCGTCGAAAGAACAACATCAAAGCAAACGACTTCCTTCAACTCCTCATTGAGATGATCGAGGAGGAAGAGAAGGAAACAGGCTCGGGTCTGACAATGCTTGAGGCAGCCGCGCAAGCGTTTGTGTTTTTTGTTGCTGGTTTTGAAACTTCAGCGAGAACCGTCATGTTTTCCATGTACGCATTGGCAAATGATCAAAAAGAACAAAATCTCTTACGAGAATGCATCCGGAAAGACATGGACGCTGCAAAAGGTGTCTATGACTATGATTGGATCATGAACAACGAAAGATTGGACATGGTTATTAAGGAAGCTTTGAGGTTATATCCGCCTGTGATTACTTTGAATCGTATGGCGACTAAAGACTACAAAATCGACGAATTGGGATTAACCATTCCGAAAAATACTTGTATTGTTTTCTCATCGTATGGTTTCCATCACGATCCGGAATATTTTGAGAAACCTCTGGAGTTTAAACCGGAAAGATTCAGCAAAGAGAATGTTGGTAATATTTTACCGTTTACCAATATTCCATTCGGTGATGGCCCAAGGTTCTGCATTGGTAAAAGATTTGGTTATCTGCAGTCAAAAATGATCTTGGCGAAGATTTTGATGAACTTTGAGCTTTCACCTGGTAAATTAACGGAGTATCCGCTGACTGTCAGCCCGGTAACGTCGAATTTATTGTTGACGCCGGAAAAACCGCTCTATTTCCAATTTAAACCACTTTAAACACTTCAAGGTCACATTATCGAAACATTCCACATACCAAATACAAATATAAATTCTCGGCTGTTATCAGTTTTCACTCTAGTTATTATAGAAAAGTTAAACAAAATGTTTTTCGCGATTTTACTAATATTGTTATCGCTCTACATTTTTTATACGTATAAAAAACAAAAGTTGACCTATTGGCAAACAAAAGGATTTCCCACTCTTGCATCCACGAATTTTTTCTTTGGAGATGTTGGTCCTGCACTTTTAGGACAAAAAAGTTTCATCGAAGTTTACCAAAACGCGCATAATGAGTTTAAAAACGCGGGTGTAAAATAGGAGGAGTGTATCTTATGAATTTACCGATGTTATTGGTCACTGATAATGAACTGGCGAAGAAAATGCTATCAACTGATTTTGAAGCGTTTGCCGATCGTGGAATCGCTACCGATCCGATAAATAATCCACTTTCGGTGCATATTTTCACTCTGGATGGCGATGCGTGGGTGAAAATACGTCGGAAATTATCGCCGACTTTTACAACGCACAAGGTTAAGTCTATGATGCCGATTCTAGAGAAAAAGATTGATGTGTTGGTGAAAGTGTTGGAAAAGAGAGATATTGTCAGTATCATAATGGAGATGTGCATATTGCAGAATGGTTAGACAAGTACGTATTTAATAAAAACTAGCATTTGCCCGGTACTTCGTCGCCGTCGCTTTTAAGTAAAAATAGTAAGGGAGACTGGGTACGGTTGTGACAATTTGTAATTACCAATAGTTTTGTTAATTTACCAGTTAGATCGTTTAACTTTAATTTTGTACATTTGTCTATACGAGAATATGAGGCATCCTGCATCCAACTAGAAGGATTTACAGTTCCAATTGATCACACCGGTCCATCTCTAACAAAATGATCATGATAACGTACTCACGGGAATACAAAAAAAGGAGGAATTGCGTTACCTAAGGCATTGACTGCAAAAATGCATTTAGAAGCAAAAAAGAACGACTATAGTAATGTCACAACCGTACCCACAAAATTTGTCACAACCGTACCCGAACCTCTTTTTCGAAAACAAAAATTCGCCATGGCTTTGTCAAATAATCTACGTAAAAAGTAAATGCTTATAAATAACTACAAATGTTCAATTTAAAACAAACAACAAAAAGAGGTAATCTATCTGTATACAAACAACAATAATTATTAAAAGAAACCGTACAAAAATATTTACTTTTGACTGTCAAAAAGCAATGTGGGCTCCTAGTTATGTTAACGTCGCGCAATAACTGACCAATACTAGAGAAAGCGTTCAAACTTGCAAGCCGCTTCTTTATCCTCTTGCACCCTCCCCCGTATGACGTATAGTTTGAGTTGTTTCCATCAATTACTACCGTACCCTTCCCAGTCTCCCCTAAATTTTATTTTAAAAAAATGAGAAATGCTAATAATGCACTTTTGCGCCATCTCGGATTCAAATATCGAACTATAACTATGATTGAATCTTCATACCAATTTTCATCCGTAATTTAATGCTCTTTAAATCATTATTTTTGAAATTTTTTATAGTTATTCTATTATTCAGGACAAAGACGAATCCAACAAAACATAAATCAACAAAATCTGTTCAGCTGTTCTTGAGTTACAAATGATTTAACTAACACATGTTTCGCAGCGATACTAGCGACACTCAAAAATCGTTTTTCTTTCTTATTTCCTAAACATGAAAACCACGACGCCTAGCAGATTGATAATTGATTTTTCGAGGATATCAAATATTTGCTATTGTAGGTTTAAAACTAAAACAAATTTTTATTTAAAACTAGCTTTTGCCCGCGACTTCATCCCGGTAGTAAGATTCGCAATTTTATGTTAAAGAAATTAATTGTATAAAGAATTGGTAATAATGCACTTCAGCGCGCCATCTCGGATTCAATTATTAAATTATAACTATGATTGAATCTCAATGCCAATTTTTATCCTATAGGAAAGGGCGTCTGTAGCGTTTTCCCGGCAATTAATCAAATTTTTCTCGCCGTAAAAACCATCCTTGAACTTTAACGAACATTTAAAAAAGAATTGGCCAAATTGGTCTTGGCGTTGTTGAGTTATGCGCTTACCAACAGAATTTACGATTTATTTTTATATTATAGATTTTCGTAATGTGGCACCAAAATGCATTGAAAAATTTAATTTACTTTTGCTCTAATTTAGTCATTTTTATTGTTCTAGAGTAGGTGTTGATGTAATTGGTGAAGTAGCTTTCGGTTTAGATTGCAACACACTTGAAGGTTACAACCAAACCTTCTTCGAAATGACCCGTCGTATTTTAAACCCTTCGAAACTAAAAATCATCAAACTGTTACTAACTGGACTAAATAATCCAGCACAATTAGTTGCACTGCTTTCTTCCGACGCCGAAATGTCAAAATACTTCATTGACCTTATCAAGAACACAGTCAATCATCGTTTGTCACACGATATTAAAACCAATGACTTTCTACAATCTTTGATAGATTTACTACAGGATGAACAAAAGAACCTGGAACTGGTCTCAAAATGGCCGAGATACCAGCACAAGCGTTCTTTTTCTTCGTCGCTGGTTCAGAAAGTTCTGCGCGTACTGTGACATTCGCTCTGTATACCTTAGCGAAAAGAACGGATATACAAGAAAAACTACGCGCGGAAATCTTGAAAGACTTAAAGAATAATAATGGAGAATTCACTTACGAATGGTTGATGAACAACGAATATCTGGATATGGTGTTGAAAGAAACTTTAAGGTTATACACGCCTGTTATGACTTTGAATCGTATGTCAACAAGAGATTATGACCTTGACGATGGTTTAACAATCCCGAAGGGGACTTGCATTGTATTTTCATCGTTTGGCTTTCATCGTGACCCGGAATACTTCGAGAAACCTCTAGAATTCATTCCAGAGCGATTTAGCTGCAAAAACAGTGAAAATTTGAAACCGTATACTAATTTACCGTTTGGAGAAGGTACGAGGGGTTGCATAAGTAAAAAATTCGCTTATTTATTAACCAAATTAGAATTGGCAAAGATTATCAGTAAATTCATTGTGATTCCAAGTGAAAAGACTAAATATCCGCTAGAAATTAGTCCTTTAACCGGAAATATGTTGTTAACCCCAAAAGATCCGCTATACTTCAGATTTAAACCAATTTAAACACTTCAAGGACAAATTAGCAAACAATTCAGGTAGAAAATATAAATTTAAAGCAATTTAAACCATGCCTACGTCCAAGACGAAGCATATAATCATAAAAATACTGTTTTTTGGTTAATACCAATTTCTTTTTAATTATTAGTGAATAAATATATCAATGTATAATATTCATAAACTCGTAGTAGATATTAGGCATCCAAAATTACACTGAATTTTACAAAAATATCAAGTGTGTAAAAAGAAGACGTAAAAAAAGTGAACATTAATCTAGTTAAACGCTAATCTACGTACTAAATACCTAACTCAACACAATAAGCGGTTAAACTTTAAATGTTTGCTTGATATTTTTTTGTTGGTTTTTCTTACTTGTGTCCACCTAGCAGATTCAGCAACATCAACAAGTTTCCTGTTTGTGTTCATTTGTGCATCTGTAAGGCATTCATATTTACATCGTGTACTTTGATTGAAGCAAGCAATATCAGTGTGAAGTGTCCGAATGTGGGCGGAGCATAGTGATCATTCTGGTGGCGGAAATGGCGCATTCTCCTCGTAGATCATCATCAGCGAGCTATACGAACGTCGCTTCTTTCTCGGCTGCTGATATAAATCATTTGTGATTAGTTAATATTTAATTAATATTGTTTGTGGTTGCGGTCTGTTACTTTTAAAACGCGCGCTTGATTATCCTCGCCGCTGCTGCTCGAGGATGTGATGCCTTCCTCTAGGGTTAACTTCTTCGACAGTCCGTCTAATTCCATCTCGATGTAGAGCTGATTCAGCTGATCGTTTACTAGCATTGGCTGTGTGAGTTAAAATTAGTTCCAAGTTTGCAAGGTAAACTTTTGTACTAACTAGACTTACCTGGGAGATGTCCTTCAGAGAGTCCAGATCGGATTGCAAGATGTCTTCGAGGCCTTTCAGCGACATCTGGTAGCGATAGATCAGTTCCGGTGTGACTGATACGGCTTCCAGCCACGGGGGGTCGCGTTTACGGATTGGACAACTTTGGTCTTTCGTCCAACTATTCTAAAATCGTCAAAAAAACACGAAAATATTAATCATTCACATTGCTTTGAGGTTATGTCAACTTACATCATCACTTTTATTAGTCTGATTCTCCATATTGTTGCAATCATCATTCGATCCTGATCCAGTATCGGTTTTTAAAAAGGATGAATAAAAACTGGAATAACTCGACTCTTCATCACCAGCCTGAGTGTCACGATACTGATTAATCTGGCTTTTAAGGTCGTTACTCTCAGCCGTCTGTAAAGCAATTAACAAATTATTAGTGATTGCTCAGTGTTTAAGTATAATAACAGCTAAGTGAGTGAAGATGTCTGATGACTTAAGAAATGCGTGAACAAAATTGTCTTCATCATACAGAGGCACGCCTTTTGTAGGCGTTTATCGCATGGCAACGCCATCTCTCTGTGTATGATCAAAACGTGTGGGGTGTTGTGTAATGAGGTGCTGCGTGTGACCAACATCTAAAACGTGTGTGACATAACCTTGCTGTTCAAATAAAAATTGTCCAGTTCGGCTTCGCCGTCAGGCGGACTGACCAGCGGCGAGTCGGGAGAGCAAACCGATTGGAGCGCTAAATCTTTTCGCGAGCATTCCGACATTGCCTAGAAAATTGCATTTGCAGAGAATGAGCAAACTGTGAGTGCGCCAGAATGGCGGCAATACAAACAGTAATACACAAAAAACTTAGAAAGAAGAGAAATTTACAACGAAATCCAACATGGCGGATAATATTTACCTTATTTGCAACACTAGCGGATGCAATCGAACCCATAGCACTACCAGGCTCCGCTTTTACACTTGTAGCTTGCGAGGCAGGGCGTTGAAACATCGGCGTTGATTGGGCACTGAGTGTGCTTGGTTTATGCCCATCTTGAGTAGCACAGTTTGCATTGGAAGAAGCTGCGGCTGGTAGGAGTGGCTCCGGAGCCACCATTTGCTGCGATACCGGTACCGGAAGCATTGACAACGGCGAACAGAAAATCGGAGACGCCGGAAACATCGGATTGTAGTTGTACATCATTGGCGACATATATTGAACTACAAAAACATATTATAATCATAACCTCAATGAGAGAACAATGAAATATTACCTTGGAAGTTTGAATTGAGTGCATTATCAGGGTTGAAAGTCCTCTGAGTAGTCGGTATGTAATAAATCGGCAGGATTCCTGTAGTATACCCGTTAGTAGTGTGTGGTGTGGAGGTTATGCCACAAGATGGAGTCATTGACGGTGTCATCGTCACCGAAAATGGCGGCCACAAGTTAACGTTATTCATCTACACATAAAAAAGCATTAAATTAAATTGTAATTTATTATTAATTTATTGTTAATTTACTGGTTGGTTGTTGGCTGGATTTGTTGTAGGCGTGTGTACGTGTGTCTTATTTGCAGCGAGGGCGTTTCCATGCGCGGTATTCGCATGCTCATTGCTTGCGTCCTGACCAATTAAATGTTTATATTTGGAAACTTTATGACTATCACCCTCCCAGGACTGTGAACCACTCCTTTTGACGCCATGCCCGCCAACATTGGCAACGTCGGCTTTTTCTGCCTTTTCAATTGTGGATTTCTCAGTTTTGTGCATTTTTTTATTCTCACGATCGGCTTTGATGCTTGTGCGATGATCGCGATGCTTTTAACCATCATTTTCTCCATGTCTTCATTATGTCTAAACAAAAAAAATTATTTATAAAAAAAAACACAAAATGGTTTTAATAAGTATTACTTGAATAATAAAGCTTCGGTAAGATGTGGTGGTTTGTAGGAATCATTCGAAGTATGAGTGGCACTTGTAGTGCCAGTTTCCATATTGACATTACTTCCGGAACTTAAATTACCAGCGCTGCCACTTCCGGATGCGCCACTGTTTTGTACTGGTGATAAACACTTCCTATAAACACAAAAAATAAAATTAACCTCAAAACTTGCAAATTTTGTTGTAATTTCAATAATTACTGATTATTTGCGCCGCATTCTTGTGTAGCACTCTTAGCTTCCGGATCCGTATCCGTTGTACTCTGTAAGGGGCCATGTCGTTCACCACTACCATCTGAAACTGTTGTTTTCGGTTTACTCTGAAAGAATCGCTGAATGTTTTCATTGTAATTCAATTGGTTGTAGCTAGGTGGCGTTTCCGATGACGATTTGCTGTCATAATAATCGTGATGCGGCGAGATTTCACCCAACATTACAGAATCTCTGTCCTAGGAAAACAAAATACATTAAATTTGATACAAATAAGTTTAAAATTGCGGTTAGACATACAGATATAGTCGCGTCTTGTGGTAAGTCAATTTGTAGGTTAGATTTGTCAACCTCTCCCATAAGATTCTCCATGAATGTCGCAAGATCTTTGCAGCGTTTGGAAACTTCATGTTTGACGTTTTCAGTGGGTCTTGCTAATTCCTAACCACAAAATTATTAATATTTGTTTTTCTATCTTAAAAATAAACAACTTACAGCGTTGAGTAGTACTAAAATTTCGTTTTGTATGATTTTACTTTCTTTGACAACTTCTTCCGAAACTAATTTCCATTCATCGTCCTTGGGCTGCTCGAAAATGTTAGGATTCAAAGGTCCTTGCAATACTCTATGTAAACCAATTACAAATTCCAGCCGACGTGACCATGGATTAACAAAACTAGACCATTCGGTTTCAATCATGGCGAATCCGCCATTTTGTACCGCGAAGCGATACGGCTTACTCCGAAACACCGAACCGGCAATTTGACACATATGCAATACCGATTCGTACACCTCTTTCAAAAAAGGCATATCCTCTGGATGATAAAAATCAAACACTGACTTTCCAAGCATGTCCTGCGGCAGAAACCCGAAGTTGGTAACAACATCAGGATCCACATGGCTGAAGATACACGTCGACGTGTGACGCATGCCAAATTTTGGACTCTTGCGTGTTTCCACCGGTACTTTGTACGAAGAGAAGACCGGCACAGCTACCACAACAAGAAACATATTGGCATTGTTCTCGATCATTTTCACGGTGCTGTCTGTGATGTGCCGAAAGGTGATTGTAAGTTGGTAGGCTTCATGCGTCACCGCTTTCTCGACAACGCTGTAACCATTCGACTTCAGGCCGCGATACTTTCGCAAACAGACATATAACGTATTCTTAATATCTGCAAAACAAACACACATAAAGACACAATACTACAATGAGTAAAAAATGAGGTTATGTTACCGTTATTCTTGTCGGTGACACAGGGCAGCACAATCTTGGTGGTGATTTGATTCGAAAACGTCTCGCGGTCCTTAGGATGGACGAAATCAATAAAGGACCTGCCCAGCCACATGTCCTTGGGGAAACCTAGCAGTGTTGTAAGGTTCGGCGTCGTGTACAGCACCATTCCGTCGTACATCGAGATGACGCAACAAAATCCGTCCTTTGTGAATCATTACATGATATCGTTAATATATTAGCATTGTTGTTGCGCAACCATACATACACATGGAAGAATCCCATATAAAGCGAACATAAAGCGAATAAAGATTATTTTACCTCTGGTTGACTGGGTATCTTGTTGTCGCAAATCTCCGGCGGCATCTTCATCAACTCAACATCATCATCCAAAGTGGTTGGTGAGATGTTTTCCTCAGCGTCACCATCCGCGTCCATTCTAGCCGGTGCCCATGGTGACAACTCACTGTTGGTGATAGGTTCAGTTGGTTCAATGATGTCTTTAATAATGGCGGAGTCGCCAGGTTCCACGCCGCCATTTTCTACGTTTGTGTTGGCAACTGGCAACTCTGCCGCTGTGGTTGATGGTAATGCTTCCGGCGTATTCTCAACAATAACGTCTTTATTGTTGATAGTGGTTCTTTCAACCGGTGTGACTGTTTCACACTTTGTACTGGTGATAGTGTTGGTTGACGATTTACTCTTCTTCTTATTTTTGTCTTTTGCGCGTTTACTCGGCGGTGGTGGGCCATCAGTGCTGCCATCTACAGTAGGCGCTCCGCAATAACCACTGCTACGGCTTGAGTTGGATCCGCTGTGGCGAGATTTTGAACTAGCGCTGTAAGCAGCATAAATGTGAGGTTAAATCTGCGTTTAGTGCGCAGTTTTGTTTATTATTACCTTCGTTGTGAGTTACTATTACTGCAGCTGTTTGAATATCCCGAATCGGATATTTTCGTGTTGGTGGTGCCCGACTCCGACTCCATTTTGTCTCCGTTTCTGGTTGCGTGTATCTAGCTTTGATAAAATAAATTGTATTTAACATTTATTTTGATGCGGTTGATATAATAACGCAAAACACACGTGTAAATGAAGAGAGGTAAAGCAGCTCACGTTCCGCGGCGCATGAATGGTTACCAGCGGTCTCTGAAAACGTTTTCCCCCGCGGGGCGCGCGGCGCAGTATCCCCTCGATGTGTGATATGCGTGTGTGTTTTATTTCTGCGCGTCGATGTAACGGTAACGTGACCTTTTAACATTTTCCCTTCTACTTTCTATTTTCGAACGACGTGTGTTTACCTAATCGCTGCTTTTATTATTAGCCGCCATTGCTGCGCTTGCATTATCCTGCTGTTTCTTTTATTCTACCTACATCCAGATATAACTCGTTTGTGTGTTGCCATGGCAACCGAAACGCATCCAGAAAGAATTGCAAAACTAATGAGAAAACTTTGCGCACACGATCGTAATTTGCAGCCCCCGGTGGTGGTGGTGTCAGCGCGCATCTATAAATAGTCCATTGCAATTAGAAAACGTGTCCGGTAACGCGTTGCAGAACCCGTGCGCTTCATAAATTGCAATTAGTTTAAAATCGCAATCACGCAAACAAAAAAAAAACGTCGCCGGCACGTGACATGGAAATAATTTTATTCCCAAATGTCAAAAATATCAACTGTCATAGCATATAGATTAGGTTATGTTGATGTGGATTGTTGCATGTGCGGTTTATTTCTATTATATAAGAAAAAGAAGATGCATGTGGATGATATGTAAAAGATGGCTGCCGTCAGTTACACAACGTGACAGGACCTCAAAGTTGATGATATAACCCTCGCGTGGCTCTTCCCCACATCGACCTAGACATGGATTATAATCAGTAACTTCATCGCTTCTAATATATATAGATTTAAAAAAGGTGAGTTGATGAAGATGTTTACTTGTCTTGGCCCGTCACTGCCATCCTGAGATGCGTGCCGCACGGCAACGTGATCTCAACATTTCCCTTCGCACCAGAAGACACAAACATACGAAATAAACATGTTGCGCATGTTGATAAGCGTGCCATCGACACGTTGAACACATTTATAATCATATCTAACAACATTCAATAAACCACACCGAAAAACAAAGTAAATTCAAAGAAAATTCTATTTTTATGCGACCTTGAAACTTTTGACAGTTAATCTGAGTTTTGTAATGTATACAACTTTTATACACATCAAACTACATTTAACATAGATACATAAACATAAAACTTACTTTGAATTGTTTTGTTTGACTTTTGTTTTGGTTGGGTGATTGTTTCAAACAATCGCTGGTCGCATAATTACTACGCAGTGGTACGTCGTTGATGTGCGATGTGGTAGCGGCGCATTCGGACTGGTCGTGTCGGCTGTTTGCGAATTACTATCTCTCGGGGTAGCTCTCGCGCGAAACAAACGCCGCACGCCGCGTCGAACGTAAGGGAGAGCGATCACGCTCTTTGCAACGTGAGCGGCAGACAAAAACAGCGCTAGGGGCGCCTGCTGCCAGCGACGTGCACACAACAAGCTGTTTCGCTAAGAGATAAAATTACACCGATCATATTTTAGCCATAAATATATTAATAAACATAAAACAAACGGCGTATAATCTCTTACGGGCAGCTAAAAATATAAACATCATGTAGATCAAGTTGCAGCCATCAAAAACTGTGTTTACATTGCCTGTAATGTTGGTTGCGTTATTTTAGGCGTGCGCGAAATGTAACTGTAAACACTTAGTGGTGTGTTAATTATAATCACATTGTCAGCACGGTATAATTAGCACAGTGTGCAATTATACAGAGATTTATTTACAAAAATCGATCGGAATCTATAAATAAATGAATATATGCACATAATCTCGTTTAGCACGGCTTAAAAAATAAATAAATAAATGTCATATAACACGCAACGTTCCTAAAATACTTCCATGCTATCAATAGCCTGTCGGCGTTTGCTTAAGACATAAGACATAACATTATCTAATCAATACCTGTGTGTGCATTATAAAACAGAGGCGGTTTCGTCGAGTTCGTTTTTTATGTCCGCCTTGCGGTGGATCTTCTTGTGCGTCTTCAGCGCGCTGGTTTGTCGGAAGGCTTGACCGCAAACATCGCACACGTATGGCCGTTCGCCGGTGTGAATCCGCAGGTGTGACACCAAATCGTTGCTCTGTGAAAACGCACGCGTGCAATGCGGACAACTGTATGGTTTTTCGCCGGTGTGCGTTCGGCGATGGCGCGATAGAATTCCCGAGCGTGAAAAACGCATTTTGCACACTTCGCATTCGTACGGTTTTTCACCCGAATGAATGCGTTTGTGTTTCGTTAGAGATGATGATGTCGTAAAGCCGTGAGAACATATATTACACACATATGGTTTGGCACCTAGTAAAAATTAGTGTTTATTATTTAGTGTATACTTGGTTGCATACTTTTAAGGCTAAATGGTTTGCTTACCGGTATGTTTCCGAGTGTGCGCACCTAATTCACCCTTACTGGCGAATTTACTCCCGCAAATATTACACGAATGTGCTTTTACACCACTGTGTCTGATTGTGTGTTGCCTAAGATTTCCTAATTGATTGAATCCTTTACCACACACCGAACACAAAAATGGTTTCTCACCGTTATGCGTACGGATGTGATCTTTAAGGTTAGAAATTTGATTGAATCCTACAAATTTTATTAATATTATTATCATTACACACTTCCTAAAACAATTCTTACCTTTTCCACACTGTTTGCATATGTGTGGTTTTACTCCAGTGTGCATATTCATATGATGTGTGTACTGTTGCATTCGTGCAAATCCTTTATTACATTCCTTGCAGTTGTATGGCTTAACTGTTTCATGCGTCAATAGATGGCGCGAGAAATGCGATGCTGTTGTGAATGCCTTACCGCAGAATTCACATTGATGCTTTTTCTTCACATGTTTACTGAGATGTGTATCAAACTCTGACTGATACTCACAGACTTCATTACACACTGGACATTGTAATGTCTGGTCCAATTTAGGTTCATGTATATTCAATACACATTCAACTTTATCATGCAAATCAGTTTCTTGGAGGCTTTGGATGAGTTCATCATTTGGCAGTGTAACAATCTCAACTTCATTGATTGAATCAAAAAAGTCTCTTCTGGTTCACTTTCAGGCTGATAATCTGGGTCTGAATCAGTTTCTCTTTGTTCATGGCTTTGACTATGATCCACTACAATATTTTCCGGTGTTTTGTCATTGAGTTGAGTTGGATTTTCATTTAGTAATTCATTTGGACCTTCGCTGTCAATATTTTTATGTAGAGTTGTATCTAAGGGTAAATCTGTCTTGACAATTACAACTTCCACTTTTTCTAGAGTAGCATTAAAGGTTTTTCTTAATATTTCGTCGGAATTCTTGCACATAAGCTTGAAATTGTGTAATTCAATGGCTTTCTTTGCACATGGTGAGCAGATTTGATTCGGCAGTCCATCTTCCTTTGCAATCTAAAAATATCACTCATTTTGTATAATTCTGCTCAATTTAAATTGCAGATTGGTAGTTTAGGAGTATATTTAGATGTTTACAATAAAGACGTGTTACCTCTATGTCGGCGCAAGCCACAATACACTCAGCTAATGATTGATAAGATTGACTGATTGATGGAAAGGTGATTTGCTCAATGTGTTCACCCACGAAGAGCGGCAAAAGATCAACGTCAACCGTCATGCAAGTGCGACACGTATTGGAAAACGTGTTCGCTTGCATTTTCTTCCAGGGATTCAGTGGTGATGAGTTAGAAATTTGCTTTTAGAAGGTTTTGAATTCGAGAAACATTTTAACCTCTCATCATTGTAATGACAACAACAGACGCCATGTATGCTAACATGCAGAATAAGTTGCCTATAGTTATCATGAAATTTTATGATTTTCAAAAGAAAAACATAAAAATTAATATTTTTTTCACAAGTTGTGAATTTAAAACAAACAAATAAATAAAAAATATAGTTTAAAACATATATATAAAAGAAATTAATAGTGTTGCAAGTATTAGGTGTCTCGTTGTGTAGAATGCAACAAAAATCTCATTACAAGTCATAATGAAAGTGTTTTTAATTTAATACAACAATGAAATGGCTAATGACAAGACGTTTAATCGAAATGTCTTGTTGCGACGTTGTAATCAGATGTGTAATATGCATGACATGGTAATGTGCGCATGTGTGTTGAACTGTGAAGTACTTTAAAGTGTTTTACGGCAATTGTATGCTAATAAAGTGTTATTTAGCGATAGTTGCGATTCTACAACAATTAAACGCTTCTGTGGCTTTGTAAAGGTGAGAAGGTGAGATCGAAGGAGAAGACGTGATCGTCCGAGCGACGATTGATCCGTGAGGATGAATTCGAAGCGTTGAAAAATTCGGTCAAGTGCGTTCGTTGTTCACGCGCGCGCAAACACACGTTCGCACGATCACACGAACCACATTCAACTTTTTCAAAAATTGGAATTATTAATTCATAAAACAATAATTTTAGTATTATTAATATATTAATATGTTATTTTTATGTATAAAGTTGTATTTTGATGATTTTGACATTTTTGACATTCTGTCACTATCCTCAAATGTATATTATACTTGCAGCGACTGCAACCCAATATACAAGTATAATTTTGATTCCTAATTCAATAATTTTTATATTTTCTGATCGAAATTTTGCTTTTTAGGTTAAATCACTAATAAAACAAGTGTTTTATTGATTGTGGAGGGAATACTGGTGCAAATCAGTGTGCAGTTGGGTTAATTAATAAGATTCGCGTCAACACTTTAATCCTCCGTAAAAGTCATACCGATGCCGATCGTGTGGAATCGTAGATGCTGTAGAGAATTCAGTCAAGGATGTTCGTCAAACTCGCATTGGCTGCGTTCACGTTCATGTCGTTTCGTCCGGCCGATCGAGCATCTCACGATGTCTCACGTCTTCAATCATTCTTGGCGGCTAAATTATACAGCTTCAAACACACTCTTTTTAACTCATCTCAAACTACCATCTAATCGCATATTACGAAATGTTAAAATGCAAACACAAAAGAAAAAACATCAAAAAAGTGTTAGTTGGGTTGCCTACATATTAAAAAAGAAGACATAATTATTATAAATCAATTAGTATACGAATAATCAATGAAAAACTAAAAATATTAAACTAAATCCACAAATCAAGCTAAAACACCGCAACTATATAAAACTTGTTAGTATTTACCTCATGTTTAACATTTAATATTAAATCATAGCATGTTACTAACTAATATCCAATAGAATTCCAAGTTATGAGCATGAGCAATTAACATCACACATCAAACATGGTTCGATGAGTGTTGGAGTAGCAGGTACAACGCCGAACATGGCAAACATTGCGTGGTACGAGTCTACGAGTAATTAAATCCATGATCCATCGATATTGAATCGATGCGCGCGATGATGGGACGCGGTGAAAGTTTTAGAGGGACAAGGTCGACGCCAAAAAGCCAACAAACGCGCACCTGCACACCGCAGGTAAACCCAACCACTCTTAACACTTAACACTTCAACTCGAGATTCCATTAAATACTTACATTCGTAAGCATTGTAGCCATATTACGCATGCGCAAATCACTCTTTTCTCAATGCACACACACTGTGAGCTTTCTTTTATTGACATTTTCGTTCCGCGTCGAATCAAATAAAAAACGTTTTCTAAACTTTTAATGTCATAATCATCGGACGTCAAAGATCAGATGCATATTGATTCGTTTTTTTATGTTGTTGTTGCTCATTTTGGCGGTTTATGTAAATTTGTAGAAATCGAAAACAACCGGAACAAGGAAATATTTGGATCACCTGCAGTGCGGTCTGCATACAAGAATTTTCACTGCTGTGTGATTTATTTTGTTGAACAATAAAATAAAAAATAAAAAATTAATAATTTTTATAATAAAATGAAATTTTAATTAACAATAGACACTAACTTTTGTTAAAAAGAAGAATTACGTAATTTCTATTTGTTTGTTATGCATGCAAACAAAAACAAGATTATGCGCTGATTAATTATGGTTCTAGTAATCTAATAATCTAGAATTTGGCATTTGTCGGTCGGCATATGTCGTTGGGTATGCAAATTATGCGAAACAAATCAAAACGTGTGTTTGCTTTCTTTAACCTACATCTATAACATAAAAAACAAAGTTGGGTTAGTTACACCACTTATAACTCAAGATTGGCTGGACAGATTTTGATGATCTATGATTTGTTAGATTCTTCTATGTCCCGAATAGCAGAATAATTATTAAAATATCAAAAATTTTAACTTAAAAGGTGCTAAATAAGGGATGAAAGGTGGTATAGAGATTCAATCATAGTCTTAGTAAAATAATTGAATCCCAGATGGCGCTAAACTCAATTAATAGCATTTTTTAGTTTGTCAAAATAAAATTTTGAATTTTAAATTTATTATTACTTAAATTTAATAATTTTTAACATTGAAATTTATGTCATTTACTAACAATCACAAAAACCTATCCTAGAATTATAAAACTTTACACATCTGAATAGATGACCACGAAGAATGAAAGCAAATTGCATCTAATAATTATTTTAATCATGTATGATCCTAACCTCGAAATATCAACTTCTTATAAACTTTAATTAGTCACTTATTGCTTGGAGGTGTTGATGTTTATTGCCACTTAAACTGATTTATTTAATTTTTTCGTTGGAGAATTCTAATGAGACGCAAATTAAAAGCAGTTATGAAACCTTCGTATTAATTTTCAGCGCACGTTTCGTGATTCATCCTTCATTCCTTCAAAAACCAAGCCAACTACTTACGCTGACCTTGTCGCTACTCCTTCACACTCATGTCAAACAGAATGAAATCATTTTTGTTTATGTCGAAATAATCTGATTTCTTTTTTATTGTTTTTAACTTGTTTGATAATCTATAATATAAAAATGAATTGGAAAATTTGTTGGTAAGCGCATAACTCAACAACGCTTAGACCAATTTGGCCAATTATTTTTTTAAAATGTTCGTTAATGTCCAAGGATGGTTTTTACGGCGAGAAAAATTCGAATAATTGCCGGGAAAACCCTAAAAACAGCCCTTTTCTATAGAATAAAAGTTGGCATTGAGATTCAATCATAGTTATAGTTAAATAGTTGAATCCGAGATGGCGCGCTGAAGTGCATTATTAGCAATTTTTTATATAATTAATTTCTTTAAAATATAATTGCGAATTTTATTGAAAGAATTGAGACATACTATGTCTAGAACAAGAGAGAAAAAACAAATTACATTTTTATTAAAGACTACAATTATACAATTAAATATGTAATGTGTTATATTGGTTGCCTATATTGTGCTGTACAAGTGTAAAACTGGTTGCGTTTCAATTGAAATAAATTAAACTCAAATCGTTTGAAAGTTGTACATTAATGATTCTGCACGTCTCTATAGAATCTCTAGGTTAATCCGCTGTGCAGAAACTAATTAAGATCATTACCATTAAGGTCTGCCTCGCTGCGCACGGTGCGCATTATTTACTTTATTCACATCTTCGCTGCGTCTGCCTGCTGGAGTTCAATTAGAATTAGATAATTCGAGACGATTAAATAACGACTCGAGGTCGCTTGGAACACACAAAAAAAAATCTCCAAGAACAATCGATCCAACACTAGATAGAAATTTTAACTGAATCACACGCCTGTTAACTTATTTTATTTGTGTGAAAATTTCATCCGAACGGGATTTAATTATCTTTAGCATAAATTTGTTGTGTTTTTTATTATCAGATTTAATTGCAAAGTGTAATTAATCAGTGAACATCATGTGAACATCTGCAATTAAATTTTTTCTTGGGTATTTACTTGTAGATTGTTAATATTTTAATGTGTTTGATGTATTCTTAAACGTTTCCACGCTGCGAGATGCCGGATTGGTGTATTGTGGACATTAGGTTCAATGACAATCAAGAATAAGTAATAAACTGGTCGTGGATGTCGCAATTGTTTCGAGTTTGTTATTGTGCGCGTGCTAATCTGGCGGCGAGGTGGTTGCGACACCTGCGAACACATCAATATGGCTGGTCACATTTTTTTTCGGTTATTTATATGCGTTAATTATTATCAAAACATTGAAAATTTTACCTGCAACTTTATTTTCGTGTTTTTTTTTTGTTTTTAATTAATTAATTGTTATTTTCTTGTTTAAAACTTAGTATTTGTTGATTTTATCAATAAAATTTGTATTTTTATTTTAATAAACTGAGAATAGCTAATAATGCACTTTAGTGCCATCTATGATTTAATTATTGAACTATAACTATGATTGAATCTCAATACCAACTTTAATTTTTTATTTAACACCTTTTAAGTAATAATTTTTAATTTTTTAATAATTATTCTATTATTCGAGACTAAGACACATCCAACAAATCATAGATCATCAAAATCTGTCCAGCGGTTCTTGAGTTATAAACGTTTTAACTAACCCGACTTGGTTAAATTTATTAATTGTTATTTAAAAAGACTTTACACACTCAATAAACAATTTATTGCTTAAACTTTATTGACAAGAGGTCAAAATTCAAGAAGTCACGTCACGTTAAAAGAATGCCATGTTTTTTTCCGCAAATCTCCCAAATTCCGCCCATTTTTTCAGCCTGTTGACAATTCAGAAAACATAATTCTTTAAATTCCATGAAATTCAAGAAGACTTAAAACAACATTATTATTAATCTACCAGGATGCTGTTGTTTAAGGTTGGCTCGTTGAATGGTTAAATACCGCTGCGTCTACATCGGTTTTTAATGCTTCCAACATCAATTCATTTAGGATTCAACATTCAAGATTCAACATTAGCAATAATCTCGCGTGTCGCGTGCTATTTTTACGCGAGACTTTAGTGACAAGGCGACGACGACGCGCCGGCAAATGGTATTGTAATTTAATTCGCGATGAAACATTAAAATTTTAGATTTTTAGAACTCGAATCGTGAACACGAACAGGATGCAACAATCATCAACTCACGCCGCACAAAAACTACAAATAATAATGAATTATTATAAAATTGTGCTTAAGATAACTGTAGATTGAATTTTGACGTTTGTTTAGTATTAGATAATTGCAATAAAATGCAAATTATGTGCGCTCACATAATGCACGCCGGTAATAATAATTAAGTAAAACAATTCGCATTTGCATATGAAGCAGGCGATGGTTATTTTCGTTTATCTCGGCGCAAACATCTCGAAAATGTTATGATTGTAACGGATCTTATTGTAATATGGGATTTCCTCTTATTACAACAGTAGGATACAGAATGCAACACATTTGAAATTAGTTCCAATTTACAAATACAGATGGCGTAAGTGTATGTAGCTACAAACATCATAAATCTAACCTGAAACTTATACAAATAAAAATTACTTGTAACTTTTATCCATAACTAGATAGTGTTTAATAAGAATGTAATTCGTTTTTACTCTCTTGTTCTAGACATAGTATGTGACAATACTATCAATAAGATTCGCAATTTTATTTTAAAGAAATTAATTGTATTAAAATTGGTAATAATGCACTTCAGCGCGCCATCTCGGATTCAACTATTTAACTATAACAATGATTGAATCTCAATGCCAAATTTTATCCAATAGAAAAGAGCTGTCTTTAGGGTTTTCACGGCAATTATTCGAATTTTTCTCGCCGTAAAAACCATCCTTGGACTTTAACGAACATTAAAAAAAAAAGAATTGGCCAAATTGATCTAGGCGTTGTTGAGTTATGCGCTTACCAACAGATTTTGCGATTTATTTTTATATTATTGATACTCGTATATCGTAATACTTAGACAAGCGATAATTTCGTTTTTTCTGCTTAAAATTTTTATGAATAACACGGATCTTGTTGAAATTTGGAATTTCCTGTTATTATACAAGCAGGATATCGACTCCAACACAAAATAAATTAATTTAAATCTTAAAATACAGATGGCGCTAGTGTAGACACATACAAAGTCCTAAATCTAACCTAAACTATTCAGTTATGTACCTATATAAAAATTAATATTACAGCTTTTGTCTTCTTGAATATTTCGTATTTAATACTCGCGTGTACTAAATGTGTGTGAGTGAATCAAGTCTCGTGGCTGGCAGGTAAAGGTAAGCCTCCGTTCAATATAAATATAACTCTCACTCTTCGTGGGACGTTGTTTCAGTGTGTGCTCGACGTTCGGACTGAGTGGTTTCGGTGCATCGGCAGCGCTGCACCAAAGTTTTCGTCACTTTTTCGAACGCGCAGGATCAAGTCGCGACCCACAGCCACTCAAGAAAGACATTAAGGTGTGACTAAAGTACCACTTGCGGTTTGGAGATTTTTCCACGGACACTGGCAAATTATTCACAATTGTAAGTTGGGCGTTTTTCCTCGTTATTTACTCGTTAAATTTAAGTTGAAAACTATTATTGATTTAAAGATGTGCTAAAAACGATCGTATAAAACCAAAGTGCACACAACACACACATTATTATGTCATAATGGTTTGGCCGATGGAGATTTTTTTTTCTCGGTTGTGTTGCGCAACACATCCACAACTCGAAACGCGTACGAGTTTACGACAAATTAAACTTAAACAACAAAACAAGAACCGCCATATATTGGATATATTCGAGTGATGCTGGATATATTCAAGATTATACAGAGTGTTTTAGTAATTTTTTTTTCATTGAAAAAATTTTTAAAAAATTTTTTTTGTTTAATTTTAAAAGTTTTGAATTTTAAATTATAATTTAATGATTTATTGTTTATTCGTCATTGGTAATAGGTATTAAGTAATCGTTTTTATCTTATTCAATTGTTGTTGTATTTTATTGGCGTGTTAGTTAACCGTGTGCACTTTTAATTTAATCAGCTATTATCTGAGCGTGAGCAGGATTTAGTTCATTCATTGTATAATCATTTTTACGTCCTTTTCGAAACTTGTTCGCCGTTGGGAAACGATGGCGCCTCGCATCGATTTAACATTTTGTTTCACTCTAGGCGACAACTGCTCCGATTCCATAATTTTTATCGCGCGAAATAAAATCGAACAACTTTCAATTGTTTCTAAAATCAACGTTTTAAATTCGAATAAAAATCGAAAGTTTTGTCATTTATGTTTCAGATGAAATTCGCGTGGCTTATAATGGCCGCTGTGGTTGTGGTGTTGTCCCAGCAGGTGGCAGCACAGAACCGTCCAAATAACAACCGCCCAGGACGTTTTCTATCACTGCCCAACGCACAGAAATGCGCAAATCGTAAGGCAACAATTGAATTTATCCATAAACGAGTAAAATTTGTGAAATTTGCATTCGCGTGCGGCTGAAAACCGGCAGACCGAGACCGAGAAAACTTTCTAAACATCTTCGCTCATCAGCCGCAACCGCAATGTCTTCTTGTATCACTTGTATTACACTCCGGCGTTGGGCAATTAATTACCCACATTGCCGATGTCATTGTACGTGATTAATTCGTTTTTGGGTTCGCAGGACCGAAGCAGTTCTTCTTCCGCGGCAAGAACTACTTCTTCAGCGGTCACGTGCCCGAACTGGCCGGCAGGAAAGTCGACTGGCTCGATGGCAGGAATATTTGTCGCGAGTACTGCATGGATCTTGTCTCGCTCGAGAGCCAAGAGAAGAATAACATGATCTTCCGCCTCATTCAACAGAGTAAGCATCACTGAACATAACTTAACACTTTATTATAATGTGAAGACACGTATAATGATAGATGCACTTACTTAACCTCATTTAACCTAACTTTTTATTGTTTGCTGTGTAAAATGCCAGCGGTTTGCACAACGCGCGCGCGCGTGCGCCGCGTGCTTAAAACCCTTTTAAATCATCTTAAATGTTTCCAAATGTTGCTGCAACGCGCGCGCGGCGCACTTTTTGTTTGCTTTGTGCGCGATTGTGCAAACGCATCTTCATATTTTATTTATCTTCGTGTTTATCGACGACACGCCGGCGTCGGCTTCATGATCGTTAAATCGTACTATGCGAAATGCCAGCGCAACGCGCTGAGACTTGTGAGATGTGATCATTTCGCAACGGTTATTCGCGGCTTCGTGCGCTTCTTTTCGTTTTCGTTTTTCATTTCGCACTTGAGCGAGCGAAACTTACCGCATACTAATTACACATTTGTTTTGTTGGCGTTTTTCGTAATTTCAAACTTATTTTCTAGTAGTTTAACTTACTAATTGTTGTATGCTTGGTTGCCTATGTTAACTTTTACTTTGTGTCTGTAGATGATGTGCCATACATTTGGACTTCTGGCCGATTGTGTGACTTCAAGGGATGTGAAAACCGCCCGGACTTGGAGCCAAAGAATATTCTTGGATGGTTCTGGTCTGCTAGCCGTGAGAAGATGGCACCTACTAATCAAACACCAAACGGATGGAATTATAATCCATGGTCTTCCACTGGGCATAAGAAACAGAAGCAACCGGATAATGCTGAATTTGATATTAATGGCACCACTGAATCGTGTTTGTCTATTCTTAACAATGTTTACAATGATGGTATTGCTTGGCATGACGTTGCTTGCTACCACGAGAAGCCGTTCGTTTGTGAGGACAGCGAGGAACTGCTCAACTATATCGCCGCTACAAATCGCGGAATTCGCTTGTAAATTTTGAATCACAACAACAACAACAACAACAACAAAAAATAAATTGAAAATAACAACGGAATGAAAACAAATTAAATGTTTATGTTTGGAATAAAAATAATTCGAAAAATTACATCATGCGCAAGAACAAAAAGAGAAGAATGTTTTAATACACAGTGGATATAATTAAGGTTAATTTGTGTATGACATAAATTTTGATTGCAATCTGATTGCTGAAGCGGTACAACGTAAACAGGAGCATTTTGTGTGTATAAAATTTTGTATTTATTATAAATATGAATTTAGAAATATGCTATTTTCTAAAATAACAATAAATTTAATTAAAAAAGAAATTATTGCACATTTTCACTTTTTTTCACAAATCATGATTAAATCATCTCAGATTTATCCATTTGATATATTTTGAAATCGTATTATAGATGAAGAAACTCTCCACAAATTGCATTCCCTTTTTACCTTTACCTATAATAAAAAATGAATCAGAAAATCTGTTGGTAAGCGCATAACTCAACAACGCCTAGACCAATTTGGTTCATTCTTTTTTTTAATGTTCGGTAAAGTCCAAGGAAGGTTTTTACCACGAGAAAAATTCGAAAAATTGCCGGAAAAATCCTGAACACATTCCTTTTCTATAGGATAAAAGTTGGTTTTGAGATTCAATCATAGTTATAGTTAAATAGTTGAATCCGAGATGGCGCGCTGAAGTGCATTGTTAGCAATTCTTTATATAATTAATTTCATTAAAATAAAATTGCGAATCTTATTGATAGAATTGACACATACTATGTCTAGAACAAGACAATAAAACGAATTTTATTTTTTATTAAACACTACCGGGACGAAGTCGCCGGCAAAAGCTAGTAACATTATAAAATATCATAAAGTATCATAAAATGCCTACATGGAAACAAGTATTAAAAAAATGAAATTATTGTGAAAATAGCCTCTAGCTAAGTAACTATTCAAATAATTCAAGTAATTTTGTGTTTCTTACCGTTATAATGTATTTCATAAGACATTCTCTTCTCCGTACCCTAATCATATTCTTGAAACCCCTGGAGAGTGCATTGAATTGACTCCACATTCAATAAAATTACATCGCATCGCACGCATTCGAAGTAAATTTAGTGACTGAGTAAATTTTGAGAGTGAACACACATAAATCACTTTAGTATTTGTTAATATTTATCTACTCCCGAGCAAATGTTAAATAAAAATACAAAACTCTTCCCTGTTTTTTTGCAGCTACGAATCGACGCACGACTCGTCAAGAAATAGATTTGTAGTACTCATGGTGCCATCTTCACGCTGCACCTTGTAGCTCCACCTTAAAAGTAAAAACTTCAACTAGTTTTCTAGTTTCTCATCAAGGAACCAAATTTATTGTACGTGTAACAATATCAACTTTACAATTTTATTTCTGTAATTAAATAGTAATAACAATCCGTTCCATGGGCACAACACCAATAACCGGCTGAAACAATGTTTTCTGTAAAACATTAGCATTCACTTGACAAATCAGCGGCAAACACAACAAAACTTTCGCGATTCTGCGATAATCCGCCTTGGTACAAATCTGCAAATAAACATTATATAATTTTTTAATCTCAAAATTATAGGTACACTTACATTTAATAGTTCCATTGATCGTTCTTGCATCAATTTGACAAGTACACATTGCTCACCAGCCGATAAAATTTCCCAGCGACTTAGAATCAAACTTTCTAAGATTTCAATTTCACTTCCGCTTAATTCCGCTTCACGTAAATATGCGTATGTACAACGAAGATCAGGACAAATTAATTTTGCTGTGTTTTCTTGGTGTCCTGATGATTTAAGCGTTGAATTCCATGTGCAAGCGTTTAATACAAACAGTTGTGACCAAACGTGAGACAGGATTGTGTCTTGTGTAGGTTTATCAACGACAGAAAAGAAAGGGTTGTGCCGTGCACGGCGAATTGCAACCAATAGAATCTGTGCAGCTAACTCATGATCAGATAATATTGAATTATTAAAGGGTTGTGAAAATGTGGAAAGTGCTTGTGAAAGAGGGTAATCTGATGGGCGATGATATTTTGGTTTACGAGGTCCACGTTCTTCTTGAACAGCTACACAAAAACAAAAAGAAAAGAAAATTAATTTATTTTATTTATAGAGTTGTAATTTTGTTTTATGTAGGAATTAAATTTACCTGCAGTATTCATTCGTACTGCAAAACAACGCTGCAGACGACAATAAGGACACCAGTTGCGACGTGCTTTGTCGATAATACAGGAATTATTCCCAGCTAAATAAATATAGAAAAATTAATTAAATTTATAATATAAAAAGAATTGCTAAATCTGTTAGTAAGCGCATAATTCAACAACGCCTAGACTAATTTGGCCAATTATTTTTTTAAATGTTTGTTAAAGTCCAAGGATGGTTTTTACGGCGAGATAAATTCAAATAATTGCCGGGAAAACCCTAAAGACAACCCTTTTCTAGAGGATAAAAGTTGGTATTAAGATTCAATCATAGTTATAGTTAAATAGTTGAATCTGAGATGGCGCGCTGAAGTGCATTATTAGCAATTCTTTTTATATAATTAATTTCTTTAAAATAAAATTGCGAATCTTATTGATAGAATTGACACATACTATTATGTCTAGAACAAGAGAGTAAAAACGAATTACATTTTTATTAAACACTACCGAGATGAAGTCGCGGACAAAAGCTAGTTAGTCATAAAAACAGTTAACAAAATTGTTATTTTGAAGACAATCTAAGGATAATATTAAATGTATCAAAGTGACAACTATCCTGCATCAGAGACAAATTAATTCCTTGTTTTTAACACTAATTACCTACTTGAAAATACTTGAAATATTGAAGAAATTAAAGACAAAAAGAAATTGCTTTCAAATGCGTTTCCAAAGTGGTATGCAACCAACAAAACATTAAAATTTTGTTCTGTATCTCATGCTCTTTGAATTAAGAAGAATTTAATATTAAGATCAAAATAAATAAACATTTAGACACAATACCACGTGTTTCACATTATTATTTTTATTCTTAAAGAAGATATTTCCTAAAATTCTTAAAAGTAATATATTTTCAACATAACTCGCGAATTAAATACAAATAATAAACCACATGAAATACCTAGTTATTAAAACGAATAAAATTATATATACTTAAGTAAACTTGTTGTATTGCGGTCAAAAGATGTTTTTCGCACTTTTTGCGCAAATGTGCAAACGCGCGTGCGTCGTAAACGCACCCATCGGAATTAACGACGCACTGGACGCATCAACGAATTAACCCATTAAAACGCTGCTTATTTAGGTAATCAGAAGCAATGCGTACCTACTACACCGCGCGCATGTTATTATCGCCATGTAATAAAACGCACATTACCTGGCGTTCTTAACTTCATAAACTCATTATGAACATTATAAAAAGCGTATACTTTCGTTCTTATTCGATCATATTTGATCTTTTTACAAGCAATCGTAAAAATGCTTTTAGATTAATATCCACACATTAACATTCAACGTATTCAAAGTATTAAATTATTTAGTAACTAGGCAAGTTTTGTATTTCTAGAAGAAGTAAGACAAAATGAAGGTAAAATGCAAGTAAATATTTCTATTTTCTTTGGTAAAGATAATAATAAATATAATTATAATGAATAATAATAATAATTAAGCATTTTTGTGTTTTTTCAAGTTGAGGTAGGTATTATTTAAAAACGGATTTGTTAAATAAGTTGCATATATTGCCAAATCTGAGTAATGTAAATTGCATACGTTAATGGCGCGTTTTGAATTTAATTATTTAATTATAATTATGAATTGTGTCGAGGTGGCATTTGTGTTTCAAGCTACTACTTAATTTTTGTGTTAATATTATCCATGGCAATTCAAAAACATAACTTAATAAAAAATATAAATATTAATAAACTAGCTTTTGCCTGCGACTTTGTCCCGGTATTGTTTAATAAAAATGTAATTCGTTTTTACTCCCTTGTTCTAAAAAGAATTGGCCAAGTCGTACTAAAATACAATTGGCCCTAAATTGAAAGTGAATGTCAGTTTTTCGACATATTCACCTGCTTTTGTTAATATAACTTTAATTTGTATGAAAATAATTCATCAGAAATGTTTATCTTCTTGTAAAACATCAATTTAAAAAACTGTGTGAACGGTAACAATAGTAAATTTTAGTTTTAGCAGTAACACAAGCACATTTTGTATAAACCAAAGTTAGATTATCCAGCAATGAGATGTGTTAGAGACGCATTCGAGAATTTCTTAAAATGTTCGAGAAATGTTAAGAATGAGACATCCTGCATCCAACCTGAAGGATTTACAGTTCCAATTGATCCCACCGGTCCATCTCTAACAAAATGATCATGATAACGTACTCACGGGAATACAAAAAAGCAAAAAAAACTGCAAAAACGCATCTAGAAGCAAAAAAGAACGACTATAGTAATGTCACAACCGTACCCACAAAATTTGTCACAACCGTACCCGAACCTCTTTTTCGAAAACAAAAATTCGCCATGACTTTGTCGAATAATCTACGAAAAAAGCAAATGCTTATAAATAACTACCAATGTTCAATTTAAAAGAAACAAAAAACAGAAGTAATCTATCTGTATACAAACAACAGTAATTATTAAGTGAAGCCGTACAAAAATATTTACTTTTGACTGTCAAAAAGCAATGTGGGCTCCTAGTTACGTTAACGTCGCGCAATGACTGATGCAATACTAGGGAAAGCATTCAAATTTGCACCCCGCTTCTTTTTCCTCTTGCACCCTCCCACGTATGACGTATAGTTTCGTTATTATGACGACTGTCACTACCGTACCCTGGCACAACCGTACCCAGTCTCCCCTACTTGAAAATACTTGAAATATTGAAGAAATTAAGACAGAAAGAAATTGCTTTCAAATGCGCTTCCAAAGTGGTATGCAACCAACAAAACAATTAAAATTTTGTTCTGTATCTCATGCTCTTCGAATTAAGAATAATTTAATATTAAAATCAAAATAAATAAACATTTAGACACAGTACCACGTGTTTCACATTATTATATTTATTCTTAAAGAAGATATTTCCTAAAATTCTTAAAAAGTAGACTAATGAATTTTCTTCATTACTCACGAATTAAACACAAATAATAAACTCACATGAAATACCTAGTTATTAAAAACGAATAAAATTATAAATACTTAAGTAAACTTGTTGTATTGCGGTCAAAAGATGTTTTTCGCACTTTTTGCGCAAATGTGCAAACGCGCGTGCGTCGTAAACGCACCCATCGGAATTAACGACGCACTGGACGCATCAACGAATTAACCCATTAAAACGCTGCTTATTTAGGTAATCAGAAGCAATGCGTACCTACTACACCGCGCGCATGTTATTATCGCCATGTAATAAAACGCACATTACCTGGCGTTCTTAAGTTCATAAACTCATTATGAAGCGTATACTTTCGTTCTTATTCGATCATATTTGATCTTTTTACAAGCAATCGTAAAAATGCTTTTAGATTAATATCCACACATTAACATTCAACGTATTCAAAGTATTAAATTATTAAGTAACTAGGCAAGTTGTGTATTTCTAGAAGACGTAAGACACAATGAAGGTAAAATGCAAGTAAATATTTCTATTTTTTTGCGAAAAATGCAGAAATATTTAAATATAAGCATTTTTTGTGTTATTAATGTTGACGTATTATATAAAGAAGGATTTGTTAAATAAGTTGCATATAAAGCAAAATATGTGTAATGAAAATTGCATACGTTAAAGGCGCGTTCTGAATTTAATTATTTAAGTAGGAATTGTATTGATATGGCATTAGGGTTTCAATCAATTACTTAACTTTTGTGTTAATATTATCAACGACAAAACAAAAAATATATATAAATATCAAATTAGTAGCTTTTGTCCGCGAATTCGTCCCGGTAGTGTTTAATAAAAATATAATTCGTTTTTACTCTCTTGTTCTAGGCATAGTAGGGGAAGGTAGCCTAAGTTAAGCACCACGATATCCGCGGACTGTTGAAGTTTGTGCAAAAATAGACAGACCCCTTGTTTTACTCGTATTTATAAACAATTAATGCAACCATTTGGGTTAAAACATACCGCGTGTTTGCGTCGTGACAGCAGCTTCGTGTATCATTGATTATCAAATCTATTATAACGACGTAAGTGCAAAAGCTGTCAAGCCGATTAAACGTTAGTTTTACCGAATATTATTTATCATCAGAAAGCTTATTTATTTATCTATAATTTATAGTATTAATTTTGAGAGGTTATGTTATATTATGATTGTCGTTGATCATTAAATATAAATTCTTCAAGTTGCCCAAATTGGACCGAAGACAGGCACCGGGGTTTTAACAGGGAAATCGTATATGATTTTTACGACCTCCTAGAAAAGCTTGTGGACGAGCACAAATCTTCGAAATAATCCAGTGTATGAAATGCCGCACTTTGGTTTATACAAAATGTGCTTGTGTTAGTGCTAAAACTAAAATTTAGGTACAATTGCCGATAAAAAGCATGGTCCAATTTAGGAAACCGGTTTCATAATTTGGACCAAAAACAAAATTTTTTAAAATTAAAATTTGAGGGATGTAAATATAATTTTTACTTAAATCAAAAATATCATTCTGTTGGTATGCCTTGTGAGTTACTTTTCCGCTACTTAATTTTTATTGACAGTTTATATGTGGCTCTATAAATCAAAAAATATAAAAATGGTCCAAATATGGCTACTTTCCCCTATGTGTCAATTGTATCAATAAGATTCGCAATTTTATTTTAAAGAAATTAACTATATATTGAATTGCTAATAATGCACTTCAGCGCGCCATCTCGGATTCAAGTATTTAACTATAACTATAATTGAATCTCAATGCCAACTTTTATCCTATTGAAAAGCGCTGTCCTAAGGGTTTTCCAGGCAATTATTCGAATTTTTCTTGCCGTAAAAACCATCTTTGGACTTTAACGAACATTAAAAAAAAGAATTGACCAAATTGGTCTAGGCGTTGTTGAGTTATGCGCTTACCAACAGACTTTGCGATTCATTTTTATATTATAGATTTAAAATAGATATAGGAATAATATACTTACTTATACAAGTGTAAATCAAATTTCGACGAATACTTCTCTTGAAAAAACAGGAACAACCATCACAGCAGAAAACCCCATAATGTTTTCCATACGAACGATCACCGCAAACTCGACAAGGAACAGGGGCCGGCAAATTTCGTCCTTTTTAACCAAAAACAACAAAAATATATTCGAAAAAACAAAAAATCTTCTAAATTACCCATAATCTTCAAGAAGATATCTAGATTAATATAAGTTACTAATAAATTTAGTGATGACTAGACTAGGTGAATGCAAATCACAAACTGCCGGGTGGATAAAATCACGGTTGCTATTTATACTTACCAACGTCCGGGGTGGAAGACCACAAACAAAAAAATTGACATGAACGCTAAATGCGGAGGTCTAAAAGGTGAGCATGACAACGAGAAAATGTAAATAGCGTAAATAATAGGAAAACACTTTACGGCGTGCTCCACCTTTACTCTATTCTCCGGTGGTTGAACGTCAACGCTCACAATGAAAGCGTTGAGTGCGCGATCACGGCAGGATATTATTATAATGACGTGTCAATCAAAACAGAATCAAAGGGTGTCAAACAGGGAAAACATTTAAAACGGAAATTTAGGAATAGTAGGCAAACTTTAATGTGAGAAAAATATTAAGAAGTATGAGTTATGCAACTAAACACACATTAAATATTTAACATTAGTTTATTTTGAGCATTTCTTTCTAAAAACGTGAAAAACATGATTAAATTGTATTTTATTTACCTACGTATATTTTTGTGTTAGGTATTTATAAGTTAGAGATAGGTACATAAGTTTTGGTAATAGCTAACATAATTATTTTAAGTGTTTTTATTCAGGGTTTATTGTAAAATCTATTATAGGCAACCAAATGTATAGTTTTAATTAAAAACATAAACATTTTAATGTATACTACCCAAAATATTATTGATTTCTTTCTAAAAAACTCGAAAAACTTGATTAAACTGTATTTTATTAACGCTATTTTCTAATAAGCTTGTAAAAAACCCAAATTTCGGTAAAAATATTGCACGTTTGAGTGTTTTTATTCAATTTTTTTTTTGAATTTGGCAAGCAAACACCATAAATCTATAGTTTAAAAATAAATCGCAAAATCTGTTGGTAACTGCATAACTCAACAACGCCTGGATCAATTTGGCCAATTCTTTTTTTTTAATGGTCGTTAAAGTCCAAGGATGGTTTTTACGGCAAGAAAAATTTGAATAATTGCCGGGAAAACCCTAAAGACATCCCTTTTCTATAGGATAAAAGTTGGCATTGAGATTCAATCATAGTTATAGTTAAATAGTTGAATCCGAGATGGCGCGCTGAAGTGCATTATTTGCAATTCTTTATATAATTAATTTCTTTAAATTAAAATAGCAAATCTTATTGATAGAATTGTCTCAGATATGTCTAGAACCAGAGAGTAAAAACAAAACGAATAACATTTTTATTAAACACTACCGGAACGAAGTCGCACTAGCAAAAGCTAGTACCTACATCAATAAAAACCTTTAAAATTTTAAGGTATGCAACCAAAAATACCGCAAATAACTCTAAAATACAATCTTCAAAACCGAAATCAAAACCAAAAATTGTTTTTATTACATCCTTTCAAGTTATTTAATGCATCATTGTGTATTATGTTTGGTAAAAATGACACGTGTCAACATGAATATTTGAAGAGACCTTTCTACGCGTTAACGATCGGTGAGCATTGTCTAAGTGGACTCTAACGACACAACAAATCGAAAGTTCACCACCGTCGACGCTCTCACCGTCCACAATCCCCACTTAAATACTCACCCCAACCTCACACGTCGAGCAAAGAGCGTCGACAACGCCACAATAGCGCTAGCAACACAGAAAACGTTTGCGTGACAGAGGTAAAAAGGTCGTAACACTCGCGCAACACGCGTCATAAAACATGACGAATCACAAAATCAACAAAACATTACAAAAACACACCGCCGATTCTAATGAAGTTTAATTTATTTTCCATCGATTATCTTAACGTAAGTACGAATAAAGTTACAATTGTAATAATAAATATCTACAAGTACACAGAGTTAATTCTATCGATTGAGATGCAGAATGCAGAAATGTGTGTTTAAATATTCGCGTGCGTATTTTATGGCCTCACAATTGAGAATTTTTAAAATAAAGTCAATTTAGGTTATAGTACGGCTTAAATCCATAAATCAACTCATTTTTCATCATTTGTGCATCGATTATCTCCTAAACTATTTAAAACGCATCAAATTTGTACAAATGATTAATGTCCAATCACGAAACATTGATTAAATTGTTTGAGGTTATGTTATCCTATATACGATGAACGAATATGTACAGTCACACTTACAGGAATCTACTCGTGTCGCCATTTTGTTTCATTTCAGTCCATGATTTTTCACTTATTGCACTTTTCACTCATTCACAGTTTAATAAAACACTTAAGACGACGCCATTAATTTCGCCGCCGCTGTGACATGATGCTGATGATGGTAGGCAACGTCGGGGGTGGCAGCAGCCGCCCCTGGAAATCCAAAGAATTGCTGATATGGATACGACGTTTGTGTTTGGAAGCAACTGTATGGTTCGTACGGTTCGCTTTTGATAACACCGGCGGTGGAACCGCCCCCGACGCCTACACCTGCTGATGAGGAGATGCTACTCGGTGGTAGAAGTGATGTTTGCCCGAGGTATGGTCTATCCGCTGCGCTTTTCGGTGAGTGTGCGTGTGTATGCGCATGCGCATGTGAATGATGATGGTGATTGCTCAGCGAAACTGAATGCGATGCGTGATTAGACGCTGAGGGTTGCTGAGAGTTGGAATGGGTTAGTTTTGAGTTATCTGTGAACAAAATATAGAAAAACATAGTAAAGGAGGAGTTTTATAATGACTTAACCAGTTATTTGTGTGAGGTTGTAATATGTGTGTGTTGTGTGTTGCATAGAGTGGGGAGTAGGCGCGACTTACCTTCGAGCACCGAGGGCGCGGTTTCACTCTCCCCGCCGCTATTGGGCTTCTTCGGCTTGCGTTTGCGTGTCTGAATACCGTCCTTGCGCATCGCCAGCGGTCGATTGACACCGTGCAGCTTAAAATACAACCCGCACGCGTTGCACACCGGCTCACCGTCGTTATTACGACGCCACAGAGTAGTCGTACGCGTGCCGCAATTCGTACAGCACAAACCCAAACGTCTTGTTGCTGTCTGCAACCCAACATACACACAAAAATCAATAAGTATACACTACAACACTAAACTTGTTTTTAACTTACCAGTCGTTTAGAGGGTTTAATCAGAGGGCGGTTCATACCGTTCATCTTGTGGTAGAGCCCGCAGGCATTGCACAAATAATGACCAGTACCGTCGCGACGCCAAAGGGGCGTCGAAATGGCGCCGCAGTTTACACACTCGCGCCCTTCACCGAACTGAAACTCCACCGCACCATCTAAACACAAAAAGCAATAATTTAAATATCTAGTAAGTGTCCAAGTTGAATTATTACTTATTATCGACGATTACATGCTTAACAGCATGTTTAAACATTTAATAAGTATTTATTGCGGTCGTAGGCGCGTTTAATCACTTCACGCGCATGATTTACGAGCTTGTTAGCAATAATTGTCGAATGCGTCGACGGCAAGGTGTCATCGATGCGATAACGCATTGCATAAATAAATTATTCGCTTATAAATTACAAATTCTTTACATTATATTACTACCACGTAACCTGTGCACATGTAAAACTGGTTGCCTATAGTAAATGACAAAAAATGAAAAAATGCAACAAAACACTTCAAAAACTCTAACAAATAAAGCAATTAATTACGTGTGCGTCAATTATTCCTCGAAGTATAATCTCAAATGAGTGTTTTATGCAAGTTTTGAATGCAGTGTGCAATGGAAAACCTGACAAAACAAAAATACGCTCTGAATGGCATGTTGTAAAATGCAAATACGAATATTAAGTTTCCAATTCGTATGAAAATGAGAATATAAACAAGGCGCGGTACACACGCCGCACAGTTGAATGCTCTTGTTATTTATCACGCGTCGTAAATGATTTTTTACCCGAAAAAAAATTAATTAAACAATGTTAAACTGTTATCGTAAGAAGCGATGACGTAAAATACATGAAATTATCTTCGAATTTAAATATTTACATTTGATAATCATTCGAACAAAGAATTTTCTCGATATTGATTTATGCTGATTTAAATTCGTGCGTCACATCTGTCTGCAATTCAATTGCATTTCTGCTTTCTTATCAATATCACCGGCGGCGCAAGCACTTAAACCTCGACTGTGTTATTTACGTGCTCTTAGATTATCGCCGGCTAATGCACAAGCGCGAATTCAATCGGCGTAGAGATTAGCAAATCGACACGCGGCGATTTAATGCGCAAACTCACGTTTATCATCAAATCATCAAATGCACCGATATCCAACAATTACTAACCACAACTAAATATTTTCAGTGTAATGTTGGTTGCCTACATACCGTATGGTGACGTACGTTGAAATCCACTACCATGCGTGCCATCGTAAGCCCTCCACGTATTCATCATCATATTCTGCGCGTAGAATTGCCCCGCACTTAATGCTCCGTGAGTTGACGCGAGTGCTGCCGCCCCATGAGTGGACACATCCCCGTAGCTTGCGGTTGCCGCCGCGGCGGAATGCCATGCGCTGGCGGCGGCTGCGTTTTGATGATGTGACGCGGCGAAGTGATGACCACCGGGTGATGGGTATTGTGGCATTGTTGCGCGATTACTCGGGACGTACACTGGTGATTGCTGGAGATGTTGATGGTGGAAGCTGGCGCCGCTGCCGTCCATCGACAGTCTGCTCTCGGAGTAACCGCTCGCTGACGACGGGGTTGAGTGGAACATTGTGCGGCGTTTTGGTGTTTAGTAGGAGGGGTAGTGCTTGGGAGTAGGGAGGGATAAGAGTGACTCAACCACGAAAGATTTGACTTAAGTAAAATCACACTTGGGTTTGATCCATCTGCAAATAAAAACAATATAAGTCATTTAAAAAATACTTAAGTCATTTGCGCATGCGCAGTAAAAATTGTTTAGTTATTTATTTTAAGTGTTTCTAAAATAGTGTTTTAATTTATTTAAGTCTCAAACACTTTTTTTTTATTTTAAAATTATATTTAAGTTTAAGTCACTTGCGCATGCGCAGTAGTAAAATTATTTAATTATTAATTTTAAGCGTCACTAAATAATTTGTAATTGATATTAATACAAATTCCGTATTTTTAGAAAAAAAATATTTAAGTCATTTGCGCATGCGCAGTAGATTTCTTATTTTTATACCCTTCAAACACCTTTATTTTTTATTCTAATTTCTTATCTATGTGTAAAAACACATTTTCGGTTCGTCGGCATCCCTTGTCTTAGTTTTTTGTCACTTGACTCAACTTAAGCCGTTGGGACAAGTGGCGAAAAACAGACACAAGCTGCAACACTCGGCGCACACACCTTGTCTGAGTAGTTTTGGTTGCCGACATTGCGTCGCCGTTGGATTCGGTGGCTCACCGCCACTTCTAACCGCTCGCCCGCCTTGTCCATAATGAGTGCAACTAATGAACCGCAGATAAGATAAATAAAAAGTATCATAAGCACGCCTCTCTCGCACGCCGGATGAAATGGAGTCTTCGCGTGCGTGCACGGCCATGGTCTGATGGCCACGGAGAGTCTAATGGTGGCGTGGTGGCGCCGCCGAAACGGAATTAATCATAATCGATAAATTTAGAACGCTTCTTTCCTGCGTTATCTGGCGAGCGTCATTAAAATCCCAATTTGATGCAACAGATGCAAACCTGGCAGGAAACTAGATGGGGACTATTCTATGATTGGAAACGTTAATACGAAGAAAAAAGTCGTTTTAATATTGATTCTATAAAAATAGTAATTATTTTATGCACTAGTGCATGAAAACATTTGTTTATCATTGTTACGACAAGAATTGGGATCTTTCTAATTAGATTTTATTATTAAACTTTTGCCTGCGGCTTCGTCCTGCTAGTGTTTAATAAAAATGTGATTCGCTTTTACTCTCTTATTCTAGACATTATAGGATGTGTCAATTCTATCAATAAGATGCGCAATTTAATTTTAAAGAAATTAATTATATAAAGAATTGCTAATAATGCACTTCAGCGCACAATCTCTGGATTGAATGATTGAATCTCAATGCCAACTTTTATCCTATAGAAAAGGGCTGTCTTTGGGGTTTTCCCGGCAATTATTCGAATTTTTCTCGCCGTAAAAACCATTCTTGGACTTTAACAAACATTTGAAAAAGAGAATAGGCCATATTGGTCTAAGCGTTGTTGGGTTATGCGCTTACCAACAGATTTTCTCTATATTTCTTTGATTCCATGAAAGATTTTCAAAATATTACAAAATATCACGTTTTACAATGATAATTTGCTGATTTTAGGCTTATTAGTTATGACGAATTTAACTAAAATAGCTATAGTTTTAGATTACTTTAACTTGAATTCCCTATAAAAAAAACATCAAAAATAACTAAAACGACTAATTATCAATCAAATAATAGATTTTAAGTATTAATAATTTAGCAGTTGTTACCAAAAAATCCTTTTAACTTTAAGCCAGTTTTTAGTAGTTATAGGGGAAGGTAGCCTAAGTTGGACCAGCGCCTAAGTTGGACCACCACGATATCCGCGGACTGTTGAAGTTTGTGCAAAAATAGACAGGCCCCTTGTTTTACTCGTATTTATAAACAATTAATGCAACTATTTTGGTTAAAACTTGCCGCGTGTTTGCGTCGTGACAACAACTTCTTGTATCATTGATTATCAAATCTATTATAACGACGTAAGTGCAAAAGCTGTCAAGCCGTTTAAACGTTAGTTTTACCGATTATTATTTTATCATCAGAAAGCTTATTTATTTATCTATAATTTATAGTGTTAATTTTGAGAGGTTATGTTATATTGAGATTGTCGTTGATTATTAAATATAAATTCTTCAAGTTGCCCAAGTTGGACCGAAGACAGGCACCGGGGTTTTAACAGGGAAAACGTATATCATTTTTTCGACCTCCTAGAAAAGCTTGTGGACGAGCACAAATCTTCGAAATGATCCACTGTATGAAATGCCGCACTTTGGTTTATACAAAATGTGCTTGTGTTAGTGCTAAAACTAAAATTTACTATTGTGTTAATTGCCGTTAAGAAAGCATGGTCCAATTTAGGAAACCGGTTTCTTAATTTGGACCAAAAACACATTTTTTTAAAATTGAAATTTGAGGGGTATAAATATAATTTTTACTTAAATCAAAAATATCATTTTGTTGGTAAGCCTTGTGAGTTACTTTTCCGCTACTTAATTTTTATTGACAGTTTATATGTGGCTCTATAAATCAAAAAATATAAAAATGGTCCAAATATGGCTACTTTCCCCTATTATCCAAACAATACAATTTCATAAAGTTTTAAACATTTTAACCATATTCGTCCGACCATGACAGAGAAGATACCACTATCGCATTGATAGTGTATTATCAAACCAGTTCACGAAGAGATAGTTGGCCGCACGCCCTCATGAACATTACCACAAACACAAATACACACATGTAGTACTACTTACAGCACTTGTGCCACTAATTATTTAACGATTACGCCCGCGTTTATCAATCTGCTTCCGCGATTATGTTCTGTTTAACTGTTAATCACTTAGAAGCCAAACATACTGAACAAACTAAACCAACAAAGAAAGCATTTAAAATACTTAATCGGTTTTAAAAACAAGAGAAAATCAATACTTATTAAATAAAAATTTTGCAATTTTTTATGTAGTGTAAAAGAGTTTAAGAAATATGAGTTTTGTTGATCATCATCTGGTTGGACTCTGGGTGTGTCTAATCGTGTAATAACCCGCGCATGACGTCAGGTGGAGCCGCGATGGCCGCGGCGGACTCTTCACACCTCATCGTCGACCAACCAAAATCAACATGATACAAAAAATACATTTTTGGGGTTTTTATTATGTGAGATTTTGGGTAAATTTTGTTTTTTTGTGGTTTTCAAGTGTATAAAGATATAATTTAATGTACGAGTGCAAAAAAGGATTATTTTAAACATTTTTCATAGTTCCCAATCAATTTCTATTACTATTTTATATTGGTATAACCTCAAAAGTGTATTTGACACACGTATAACCTATAATAACCTTGCATACATAACCTAATACTATAAAAATGTTAAATTTGTTTCTTTGTTGTTTTTCATCAAAATCCGAGTGTAAAAAGATATAATTTTACGTACTATAATCAAAAAGTACTATTTTTACCAATTTTCATAACCAAAACTAACATTTTACACACTTATAACCTTTTATAACCTATTATAACCTAACATAACATAACCTAATACAAAATAAGCTCTGCATTGCATTTTTTTTTTCATTAAAAGAAAACCAGTTGATAACGCATTTTACAGTTTACAATTGCCTGCGAGTGTCCGCCTGCATTCGATATCAGTATGCGTGGAAAACAATTACGCCTATCGCCGAATATCGCATCCACACTCGCTGAAGCGTATCGACAACTCATGTTGGTGCTATCAGCGTTTATGTATTATTTTTTTGCCGTCCTCTTATCACTTCACTCACACGTACACACACAGATATCCACAAATATGTAAATACTTTTGTTGTATTCGGTATAAGTACAGATGTCACTTCCATCGCTTTGATAAGCAACGCGCGCGTTATCTGCCGACCAGCAGCAGTAGCGACGGCGCATTAACGCATTATCTTATCGCGGCACGCTTATTTTCATATTGGATTTGAGTTAATTTTACATTTTTTGTGTGCGTTGTGTTTGAGGCGTGCGTAATGTAATATCTACTTAGTTGAGGCGAGTCAATGCGCGCCATTGAATTTGCATAGTTTGGATGATTTGCGTGGCTTTAAATTGCTAATTGTGGAGCACTTTACCAGAGCGACAAGGTGATAACACGGCGCGATATTTTGATTTTGCAAAAATATTTATAAATGTTGCACACAGAATGGTTTTTTCCAAGGTATTTGCAACAATTTTTGATTTTAGTTTATTTTCTTAATTTTAGCTTTTAGTTATTAGTCAAAATGTAATTTATTTTCACTTTCTTACTTTCAAAACTTAATAAGATTCGCAAATTTATTTTAAATTAATTAGAAATGTTAATAATGCACTTTAGCGCCCTCTCGGATTCAATTATTGACTTATAACTATGATTGAGTCTCTATATTAATTTTCATCCCTAATTTAATACCTTTCAAGTTATAATTTTAGATATTTTAATAATTATTCTTCTATTCCCCATAGAGACAAATCTAAGAAGGCATAAATGATCAAAATATGTCCAGCCATTTTTGAGTTATAAATGCTCTAACTAAGACGACCTTGTTTTCAGCGTAAGTTGCTCTTATTTTAGGTTAGTTTATCTTTTATATTTCATATGAACTTCATAAAATGACTAAAATTGTTGATTATTTATAACCTAATTAGTTTTTCATCAATTGCCTATACTTTTTTAGCTATTTGACCACAAATTGATTTTTAATGACTGTAAAATCATTCGTTTTCCATCAGATATTTATAAATTTCAAAATATAAATTTTAAAACGCTATGTTACATGTAAATTACTGTCAGCAGTGCAAAAAAAAACAACTTTGTACCCAATTTTTTCAAAAGTTTTTTGCTTAGGACAGTTGGCAGATGAAGAAGTTAAAAATTGCATCCAATTATTCACACACACCTTTCTCTATGTCCAAACGCGATAAACCGCATGAATCAGAAATGAGCATCGTCAAATGCGATTTGAATATAATTCCTGCGGTTCGCAAATGGCGCCGCATCGGCATGCAGCGTGTGCGAGCATAAATTAGCGATTAAGCATTAAACATGCGTTCGAACAAACGCGATAACGATCTCGGCACACACGCCGCAAACCGTTCGTTGGCCAACCACCGTTCGTCCAACT